TGGCGCCCCCGAAGTACCAATTTGGTTTTTGGGAACAAGAAGAAGTCACACGGGGCCAAATCCGGCGTATAGGGGGGGTGTTCGGTCACCGTAATGGAATTTTTACTCAAAAACTCACGGACAACAAGAGATCGATCTTGGCGCAAATTTTTTTCATTTGAAGTTCGTTTCTTAGAATTTCGTGGACCACGGTTTTGCCCAAATTAAGCTCTTCAGCCACCTGTCTGACCGTTAAACGACGGTCCCCATTAACACAAGTTCGAATTCTTTCCACGTTTTCGTCGGAATGTGAAGTGGAAGGACGTCCTGAACGTGGGTCATCTTGAACGCTTTCTCGGCCCTCTCTGAATCTTTTTAGCCACTTGTGGACGGTTGGTTCCTTCACAGCATCATCCCCATAAACTGTTCTGAGATCGGCAAAAATTTCACGGCCATTCTTGCCGAGTTTCGAGAGAAACTTGATTACGACGCGCTGCTCTTCAACGGAAGCGGGCTCCATGCCGACGGGGTTTCGTTAAGAGGTAACTTCACAGATGGCGTGACAAGCCAGTTCGCACCGCACGGCGGTCAGACCAGAACTGAAGCATTGTTAGGGACATAAGGAAGGGGTCCTGCGCTTACCTGGCCTCCCCACTCCTCTTTCTCGCATTCCAGAACACTTTTATACGAACTTTCCGGACAGACCTCGTATGTCGGCGTGCAAATTTTTAACAATATAAGACAGGCTATCTTGCTAGCAATGGGACTGGTAGTCCATATTACTAACAATCTTTTCCCTCTCAAATGTGATATGTTAGATACTTACCATTATTAGTGTTCCCACAGCTAAATTGATTTGCGTTATTATCTTATTAACACATAGGTATGTATATATGAGAAATCTTACTAATATAATAACATTACAACTTAACAATGTCTGTACATAGGTAATAAGTTAAAATAAGAAAAATAAAATAGAAACCAAAACAATATTTTTTAGAATTTTTATATTTTGATTGTTTCATATATTTATATTTTTTCCGACATCACGCAAAACGTATTGTACCAAACTGAATCCGGTTATTCCAGTTGTTTTTCAAAAGGCCTAATTTAAAATCTGGTATACGTTTAATCTTGATACGTTATCTAGAAGTGGGTACCTACTTCCAAAATGTACGCGTACGAAGTTGCAGAAAAAAAAACTAGTAATATTATATTAGAGAAAATGCGTTCATTTTCGTGGGCATTCTCAAATATTCTTTCTGTTAAACGTATGCAACGTTACATGGAAATCTTTTGCTTATGCAAAATCTTTGTGCAAAATTATAAGATGCTTTTCAAAGATATTAAAATTACTCTTTTATATCTTTTCTTTTTTTTATATAAAACTTAGAATGACAAACAAGCTGATGATCCACCTGATGAAAAGTGATAACCGTCGCCTATAGACATTAGCATTACCATGGGCAAAATAGAGTATACTGTTTTGCCCATGATACTCCCCATACGTTGCCATTCCTGAGGATTCAGGTGTTATTCCTCTGTATCCTGTAAATTCACTGCCATATCCGACCCTTCAAATCAAAACACAAACATAACTACTTCACGGTAGAAACACGAATGAGACAGAGGTGCCCAAGCAAATGACTTTTGTACAAAGTCTCCTTCTGGTAAGGATATCTACGTAGGATCTCTAATAGCGACGAACAGCGCCAATGACATAATTATAAATAGTCCTTACCTACTTTTACGACTAGAGTCACAAATGCAGTATGAATATTAAATTGTAGAATTCTACCTATAGTACTTATTCTATTTATGACCTAGACAATTACCACTTTCCATCAGATAAACTGTCAGCTTGTTTTAATCTTAATACTTCAAGTAGATATTTTAGTATTTTCCAACAACTACAATATCATGTTCTCTATTCTTATTAATATAATAATAACTTTTTTATATGACTTGAAAGCTAAACAAATTAATGACCTACTTGGAAGAAGATGACAATTGTTAGCTAAAAATATCGAGACCACTATGGTAAGCCAAAATACCCTTTTTTTGTATAATCATAGTGACAATGTACCTACTTTATGATGCCCATAGAATGTGGTACCATATCTGGGCCTCAGCTGCTACAACTCCGTAGCTAGTATCTATTAATTATAGATATGTTTGACAAATAAATAAACAATATTACAAAATAAGAATAAAATAAAAAATATTTATTGGCCACAAAATAATTTTACAAGATGCCTATAATTATAATTACAAAAGAGAAAAAAAAATACCAAAGGGTTCTCATCTCAGTAATACTGAGATTCGTCAACAGCGGGTACATTAGCCACTGTTGATAGCATTAATATTCTGATAGATTCCATGGTAGGCAAAAAATCAAATCTTTTCTCGTTATAATATTAGTTCCAATATACAGCCAAGGGGATGTTCGCAATGGAGTTTGATAGCCATTAGCTAGCAATATGCCCTATTAGGTCGACCTCCACGTGATTTCCCCTGGAAACCATCATGAACAATTCTTGGTGAATTCGTCACGATAAGCTAACTGACCTACTTCATCCTCACCTATCATCCTTCACTAGTGCCCCGTCGGTGTATACCGATAGCGCGGGTGGGGTTACCATTCCATTATCACCCATTAAAAAATATACAGCCATGCAAATACAGTTAATTGATAGTAATTGAATTATATTTACCTCTATATTGTCATTTTCAATAGATTTAAAAAAAGGAGATTCTCTTTTGGTTATTTTTTTTTTGTTTTTTTATAACCTCATAACTCCTTTAGTTTTTTTTTAATAAGTGAAAATGGCATGGTTACCCCGTCTGCGCTATCGGTATACACTGGCGGAGTACTAGTAAGAGATGATAGGTGAGGATGAAAAGGCAGGTCAGTTAGCCTATCATGACGATTTCAACGATAAATTAGTTACGATGGTTTCCAGGGGGAATCGCGTGGAGGTTGACCTGATAGAGTACATTGATAGCAACGGGGACTAACCTCCCCATTACTAACAATCCCTTCTCCCCAACTTCGTTAGTTGTAAACCGATTTGGATTTTTGTTTTTATCTGAAAGGATATTCTTACAGATTGAACTTATAGAAATTTTATCAAAATCGGCTCAGTAGTTTAGAAATCAAAATAGCTAGTATTGCCACAATTGAAATTGACTTTTTTTGGCTTAACGTCTTAAGAGTTTATTCGATTATTATGAAATTTGGTATAGATACCACACATACTACCTATATGCGATGAAGAAAGACAATAGAAGTAATACAAAGTAGTTTTTAGGTTACTTTTTATTCTACTCAGTGAACATATCACGTGAAGTCGCGTGTAAAAGCTAGTTTATAATATGAAAAAAGATAATAAAGATTATAACACCGCATTTCTGGGTTGGATAGGTGAATATGTATTTTATAATTAAGTAATTATAGATTTTTTTATTATTTCAATCCTACGATTACGGTCTACGTAATTAATGCAACGTATCAATTTATAGAGACCTATTTATGTAATACTATACGCATTTTAAAAAGGTCACTTGTTCCTTCTTAATAAATACATATTCAATTTTATTTGAACAACTAAATTCTTAAATGGCAAGGCGTTATTCGCAGATGCAAGAGCCACTCGCGTGCGGTACTTGTGACACCCTACCAACAACACTATTGTCGTCTCCTGCACACAAAAAACGCAACCGAATTGTTTACCTCACTTTTTACCTTTTTTTAAACTGCTCTATAATTTTTTTTCTCCATTTTCTGTCACAGCACACGCGGCTACCAATTTTATAGAGATCTCATTCATGCGCATAGATCCTATTGTAATAATGACTGACGATCAACGTCGAAGTAATTCTTTTTTAATGTTTAGATAAATGTGGATAATCGGTAGATTTTAGGGCAGCCCTCTTTTAATAGATCAATTTGTTGATGCGATAATTTATCACAGATGTGGTAAATATATGTCTAGATAAGTTTAGTCAATTTCAAAACGTGAGAAGTGAGAGTTCAAAACAATCATAGGTGACAGGCGTGATTACCATTTCTTTATTACCCATAAATAAAAAAATACCGGTAATCAAACATTTGTTTACCGATTTCATTTTTTTATTTATAAAATGTAAAATATGTGCATGCCTACATATTTTAAGGCAATTAAACAGGTGCCAAAATAATACCACGTGGGTTGTAATAATTTTAAACTGTTTAATGCAAATAAACTCATTTCATTTCATTTCATGAGTTGCAGCAGCAATGTAGGAAACGGAGTTGCAATCAAGTTTATAGTCGAAATATGTGCAGAGAGCGTATTAAGAACAACAGTACAATTTTACATAACACTGAATATTCTTCTTATTATAATAATATAATGCCACGTGGTCCCGGCATAAAATGGGCAACTCTTTCCTTAACCATTGGTGTCGTAAGAGGAGAGACTAAGGAAACTTAATTTAACGAGGGATGGGCAGCAAAGTACGCCTTAAAACGTCACCAAAAGCAACCCCCCCCCCCCCCTCTTATGGGGGAGGCTGATATGATACGAATTAAGTAATGGTACTGTTTTGCTGCAGAAATATTACCTAAATGCGGGTAGAATCGCTGTAAGGCATATTTAGAATAATGTTTGGTTTCTCAGACACACAGTAAAACTAAACAATGGTAGTTTATGTTGTATCTGTGTTATGTATAATCATAACTATGAACTTAAGCCACTGTACGTTCATGTAATATTATTAGTACCATATTTTGGAAACTGTTTGTTTGTTTGTAACATTTTATTGTAAATTGTAGGGTACTTATATAGGGTCCGGTCTATAAACGCCTTTTTTTTATTTTTTACTATCCCGCGCTTTTTTCTGTCATGTGCTTTATAGTATTTAAAAAAAAGAATATCGAAGATTTTACCGTTGCGCTCAAATAATTTAAAAGTATTTTACTATGTAAGTTTCATGTTATAAAAAGTTGGGAAATATCAATAGAAAAATAAAATAGTCAATTATTATACATTAGATATTTAATTAAAAAAATGCATACATACAGATATTACATGCTGTATTTAAAACATGGTATCAATAAATTAGTGTTTGATGAATCTTAATACTGGCATGGTTATTCAATAAACCATCGTTATGTAACTAATCCCACTGCATCTTTGTATTTTTTATTAAAAATAAAATTAATGGAATGGAAAATCATCAGTATTAATATCCAAATATTTTAATCGCTCTTTTGCCACGTCTAATATCACTGGCAATTCCAATAGTTACTAATAAATGTTTCAATCAATAAGGCAAAAGTGTTTATATACTATTACATAAAACTGAACATATGTAATATGTACACACATTTTACATATATCCAATTTAAAGACAACTTTTTAATATGTATATGTAAATAGATAATAACTTTTCATAACAACCTCTTACATGGAAATAATGTAAAAATATAAAAAAATGTTAAATTAGTAACTTCACACTATTTATATATTTTTTTTTTTTTTACTATATATATAATTCAATTTTTTCTCTTTACATAAATCCATCATATTAAGAGTATTCATACCGACTCTAGTAAATTAATTTACAATATTTCTGAACAATTATTTAAAAAGCAACAATTAAAGTAAATGACATATAAATGCATAATAAGAATTAAAAAAAAAAACTACTTGTTGAAATAATCATTCAAAATATTGTAAATTATTTATATTTATTTTTACTGACAATAAATAAATAGACAAAATCGACAAATTTGCTAGACTTCACTATGAATGCTCTTATTAATAATATCAGAAAAGACGGTATCCACATCTTAACAAATGTACGGACACCAAACGAGACACAATAGGAGCTTTTATTATTACGGCTACAGTTATCACTGTCCATGAATATGTTAATTAGCAAGTGTTTATTGATGCCAAATATTCATTGTACTTCTTCTCTTGGGCCAATTGTAATTTCTGCAGTTTCTTCAACAGACCCTTACTCAATTCTTTGCCTTCATGATCATGTGTTGGCAAACCCTAAAACAACGGATGCGCCAAATAAATATTATATAATATTTGAAAATAGAAAAATATAAAAAAAATCAAAATAATATTTTATTAATTAATATTCGATCAAAAAAAAAATGGAAGTGAATGCAATACGAAGTGGTTCGAACCCACAATTACTTTTGGCGCCTTTACATGAACACATAACGCCATCTAGCGGCATTAAAAAAAAGCTTATTTCATAACATACTTTTCATAACGCGGTATTACTAACAAAATTAAACAAGAAGTTCTAGATGGCGGTGTAGTCTAAAATTGTGGTTTGTTATTTTGTAAATAAATATAAAATCTCTAAATTGGCGAGTGACCATTTAAAAGGGCGACATCATATCTGCAATTTCTCCAATGTTGTGATTGCTTATGAGCGGCAGTAATCACTTAACAGCAGGTTAGCCTAATTCTCGATTACACCCAATGTAAAAAAAAACCTACGCCGCATTTGCCTGTACCAGGTTAATACTCGACTTAACTTCTACATACTTGTACTTTGTTCCACTGTATATTTATTGAAAAATGTTTTAAAATTTTTGTTTACCTGTTCATCAAATTTTGAATATTTGTCCGTTTCTAATTTGAACATCTCACTAGGTGGGATTTTCTTTTGCTCCTCCTTGGCACGCTGAGCCTCCAGCATTTCCTGTTTTCTTTTTTGTTTTTCAGCTTCGATTCTTCTCTTTTCTTCCCTCTCTTTCATTAATTCTTCTTTACTGACTAGTTTCACGACGGTACGATCTAAAATAATTGATAAATATATTTCCAATATCTCTGAATAATTAATTCCAACTATCCACAATCATTATCATCATATCCTCTTTCTAGGGAGGAAGGGGGAATTATACCAGTAGTTACTACACTTGGCAGGCGGATTGGCAACCGCAGTAAAGCTTTACTGTTCCATCCCCCTTGGGACCACACAAGAACTAACCACAATAGTTTCTAAAATCTATTGGACTGAATGGAAGTCAACATGACAAGGTATATTACCAGCAATGGGGTCGCTATTCCCTGTTACTAACAACCACCTCCAAAATATGTAATTACCACAATCCATAAGGCGAGATAATACCTCGATTGCTATTGTGAATTATGTGTTTTGTGTAAAAACAAACCACGTTACCGGGCTTGTCCTCGAGCCGGACACCGAGCTCGGGCAGGTCGCAGTCCCGCAGGCGGTCGCACAGCTGCAGCACGCCGCTGGCGCCCGCCGCGCGCGCCTCCTCACGCACCCGCGACCTGAACACGCTTAGCGCCTCCAGGTACGGCATCACCTTCTCCTCCACCTGTATATGTATTAACTATAAGCTTCACCAGAGATGCGGTGCAGAAAATAACAGCTTCTTATGAATATCCTTGTTTTCTGCATATTAGCTCCAGTTTATGTTATGAGACTACTTTCAAACAGCAACAGCCTTTGCGTTATGCTGTACAAATATATATATATATATATATATAGAGAGAGAGAGAGAGAGAGAGAGAGAGAGAGAAACAGTGACAAGAACTCTATACAATATTGTTATGTCGTCTACAAAAGTAGTGTGCTGAGGTAACTCTATCCCATTTGTTTCTTCTGCCATAAAGCAGTTGTGTTTGCATGACCGTGTTTCGGATTCAAAGGCAATGACATTACAAGGTACAGAGGCATTACACCTGAATCCTTATGAATAGCAACCCATAAAGAGTCATGGAAGACACAGCATACTCTGTTATGTTCATGTCTACCACTTTCCATCAGGTCGGCCGTCAGCTTTTTTATGCAACTTAGGCAATATCATGGCAAACACCATTCTAAGATGCATAACAAAAAGAGATATGACAATCATTACGATCAGAGCGATGTACTCAGTGATATAAAAAATGTACACGAATGTGGCTCGCTGTTATTGTAGAATACGATCACGAGGAAGATACATACGCAAAGGTTATCTTCGCCGGAGACAGGGAAGCCGATGCCGCCGCGCGGGCCGGCGATAGCGCCGAACACATGCAGCACGTCAGTGACGTAGCGCGCGGCGGCCGCCAGCAGCGGCGCAGGCGTCGGCCGCGCACGCGCCGCCAAGTACACGTGCGCCGCGCCTGCCAACTCGCGCAGTGCCTCCAAAGCGCCGCGCGTGTCGATATTATCTGTAACGATCGCAGGAATTTACTTATACACTAGAAAGTACACAAAACTCGTCTCTACGGGTACCTCTATCCCACTCGTGTTATTGCCACCAAGCAGCTGTGCTCACAGAACTATGCCTTCAGTTTGAAAGGTAGGATATGGCAGTGAAGTTACAAAATATTGAGATGGTAACGTAGGAGAGGAATCTTAGGCGTCACAGAGTATTGCGTTGTCCATAGTGGTATATATTTATACTTGAACACTTTTCATTTAATGGCTGTTACAAGTTGCTGCTGATCAAACAAATTGTTGTTCAAATAAACAACGACTTCAATTACAGTAAAATTCATTTAGAACTGACATAGACAAAATATCAAAATTTATTCAGAATTAGCTTGCATCAAACCCTAGCTTACATTTTAACGAAGCAAGATACTACAACACTATGCTATGGAATATGATATGCAAGCAAGCACAGAAAATATATCGAGATTGCTATTTATTACATTCGTTTAAAGTTAGAACCCATATAAATAAAAGCTACAATATAGAAAAAAACAAAAAACTACAAATGTATTTGTGACAATATTATATGCAAATCTATGAAAATATACTACTAACCACAGAGTGCGGCGTGAACTTGTTCTTTCACTTGTGTGAGTTTACTAGAAAGTTGTTGCTCCTCTGGTCCCCAGGAACCGCCATTACCTTCAGCATATCCACTACGCAATGCATCTTTCACCGTCAGAAAGAATTCCTGAAATATAGCTATAATTCTAATTATACGATTTTTTTGCATTCAAAACTGTACTACAAAACAATGTTAAGACTGTCCAAATATATGAAATGACTATGAACCAATCAATACAATAAAACTAATTCCCATTTTCATTAATCTATATATATATATATATATATATATATATATATATATATATATATATATATATATATATATATATATGAAATTATTATATTATGCATAACAAAAAAAAAAAAATTATTTGCTTTAATCATATTCTGAAAATACGATCGGTTTTTAAATTGATAGAATATAAAAGAATATAGTGCAAACGGCTCAGAAAAGTATAATATACTCACATTAAATTGTTTTTCAGTCTGTATCGCCATTTCCATAGTATTATCCGAATAATCAAGAGTCTCTTTCCAACCATGTAATAAGAATGCGAAGCGCAATTGTCGAGCCGTGTGTTTTTGCAACGCTTCGTTGATAGTGACGAAGTTTTTTAATGATTTAGACATTTTGCAGCCGGAAATTGTCAGATGTCCCGTATGTAGGAAATATTTCACCCATCCGGGCTGATCGAAATGAGCCTGTATGCAACACACACAACAATAATTCTGTAATATACCAGGAAAATAGTCTATGTATATATAAAAAGAGACTAAATAACTGAAATAGTTGAATCTAGAAAATGCAATTTTCACAGTGGTTATTATAGTCTCTATTTTATCTGAAATATTTATTTTATATAAATTATTATTATTGACTATTTTATATAGCACTAACTTTTTGCCCGGTACCTTGTACACGTGGACTTCAAAAGTAGAAAAACCAACAAAATATACCACTTCTTGACTACCACTCTTCAATATAAAATGTACACCAGATTTTAAGTTACATATTCAGAAACACAATTGTGAAAACCGCTTTTGATGTAGTCGTTTTTGCGTGATTCCAGAACAAACACCCTAGTGTTGGGGTGCAACACTAGGGTGTCACGTGCTCGTTGCCGATCCTGAAGAAACTTTAATGTACCCTTTTTGAAAAACCCTATACTACAGTCTCCATGGTAAACATCGACAGGAAGCTTATTTCACAGTCTAAGCGTTCGCGAAAGAAAATTCTTTTGAAACCGCATTGTATGTAACCATTTAGGTTCAAGTGTGTGAGGATAAATTCCCTGTCATTGGCGAGTGTATGTTTTGTTACAGTACTGTTCAAGTTTATAGGTGGAAACATGACTTTCCACCATATAGGCTGTTAGCTTATCTCAAGTTACACAAAATAACTCACCTCACTCTGCGCCAGCTCGTTATCATGATGTGGAAACTTGAGGTCTACGCCTCCCGTATGTATGTCCAGCTGGGAGCCGCACACATCCGACGCCATGGCCGAGCATTCGATGTGCCAACCGGGCCGACCAGCGCCCCACGGTGACGGCCACGAAGGCTCACCAGCCTTGCTGCGTTTCCACAGGGCAAAATCATTTGGCGATCGCTTTTCTGCAGTGTCGTCAGTTAGATCACCTAAATTTTATTAACATAAGTCAAAATACTATTTTCAACCGAATTCAAAAAGGAGGTTCTCAATTTGGTTGTATTTTTTTTTTGTTTGTTACCTCATAACTCCGTCAGTAGTAAACCGAATTGAAAAATCTTTTTTTTTTATCTGAAAGGATATACTCATTGGGTCCATGGAAATTTTATCAAAATCTATTCAGTAGTTTAGTTTTTTAGATCAAAATAATTGGTTTTGCTGCAATTGAAGTTAGGTTTTTTTTTGGTCACAATTTTAATTATTAATGGTCTATTTTCAAGGCAAGTTTTTTTTTTATTTCCCCTCCCCCCCTCGAGGAAGAGTACATTTGTACCAGATATTAAGTTCCAGTTTTTTTAAAAAGCAAGTATTACCTGCCATTGGCTATACTCATGTTCCTAATTTCCTTAAAATAAAAACAATTCATATTGGACAAATATTATCTAAAGTGAGGGACAGGATAATAAGGGAAAACAGTGATAATATTCAATTTGACAAGAGCAAGGTAAGTTTAGAATGAACTACGAATATATAATCATATCCAAAACATTACAAGTATTATATGCATATTGTGCATCAACAAGAGGTGTTATTAATTAAAACATAGGCTTTTATATAAGACTGAAGTTAATTATAACTTGTCCAATAATCACTATCGAGTATCTCAGCAGATCCTAAAGGTAGAGAATGCTTATAGCAAAGCCCGTCTTTTATACAACATTTTGTTAGTCAATAAAGTTTAAATAAACAAATAATTTGAGACATCACAGAACTAAAATGTAACGAACAGAAAATTGTGATTTTACGAAAATAAGTTGTATCAGAATTTTTTCTTATCTTGACTGCGCGTCTAGATTGCTAACGAAGTTGTATAAAATTCTCCAGAATGGAGTGAATCATAACAAGTCATGTTAGTATAGAAGGTGTATATATAGTATAGTAGGGGTATAAATTTATATTGTTTATGAATATTAAATTGTACATTTCTAGGAAAGATAAAGATAATATAAAGATATTTAAACTTTGTTACTCAATCATGCTTAAATTGCTAAACGAATTTGAATGAAGTAAATTAGTAGAATGTAATTATCATAAATTAATACACAGAATATTACTATCACAATTCATGTGAATAAAGCAGTTGGATTCAGTAAGGATAAAATCAAATATGCAAGTATGTATAGGTACTGCAAAGAGTGAAAAAACTGATAAAAATGATGATGAATCATAACTCCAGTAATATTTTGGAAGCATCAGTTTCTTTATGATACAATGCAATTCCAGCTGGGATTGCATCATCTTTTAAAACAAACTTATTTAAAATAAGCAAGTACATTCTTGGATTTACAGTATGACTAATAACATTTGAGAACAAAGAAACATATTGCTATACAAAAAAATTTAGACAAAAAAAATCATTATGATTTAGTCTAAGATAATATTTGATGGACCATCATGTTAATAGACATTTAATAGAAACAGTTAGTATGATAAACATGAGTTGATGAGTATTGGTATATATTCTTGCTTGTAAAATTTTCATTAACTCCTATTTAAATGCTGTGCTCTTGTCAGTGAAGCTCTTTTAAAGTTGCTTATATAGAAATAAATAAACTCTATATATTGAATTTAAATAAATTCAGATACATCTCTTATAATTGACTTTTGGGGGAATATGGAGACTGGTGCTAATGGTTAACAAAAGCATTAAGTAAATGATGCTGGTCATAAATGTCTCAATATATGTATAAATAGTACCAAGATGCATCTAATAGCATAATTACTATCATTTTCATATTTTATTTTATGTATACAAATTACCTTCTCCTTCTTGTAATGACTTTGTATCACCATAGGCTTCTGGAACCAATCTAGCATAATGGTGTTTATCTCTGCTGTCAAATTCACTTACATTGAAGTAAACTGATCCATTTGATTCATAGGCCAAGTTGTTGTCTATTATTTTTTGAATGAATTGTATTATTTGAGGTACATATTCACTTACTCTTGTTAATACATCTGGAGGTAATACCTGGAAAATAGATGAGTGATTCAAATATACTATTCAGCAGTTTGATTAATTTTCATCATTATTAATATGAATGTAAAAATGAGTTTGTTTCTTTTTTATGCAACATAAAATGGCAAACAAGCTGATGGTCCAACTGATAAAAAGCTATATACATGAACAGTATCATGGATATAATGGAGTATACTATTTCACTCATGATATTCCCCATGCATTGCCATTCCCGATAACTTAGGGTACAGAGGACCCTATAATTTTATTGCCATATTGCCTTGTTTGTTGTTATCACATGAAATAGAACCCCAATGACTGTAATTGAAAGAAATAACTAGTTTACTTAGGTTTATTTAAACATATTTTTTTTTAATAAAACTATAATTTTTCTTTTTACTTGATGCAAAATAAATAAATATGATTGTGCCTATTTTTACTTTGTATTTTTTTTTAGAATATTTTTTCTATTAAATTCATTAAATCATTATGCAATATCCCTGGGACCAACTTTATATTATAAATATTAATTAACATTAAAAATTATATGAATATACTCACATTGAGAGCTTTCATATCTTTGTGAAATTCATTTTCCCAATATCGAGGCAGTGCTTCAAATATTGCATTATCTGTCACTGTTGATCCATACTTACTATCTAGCCAATCTGATATAGGATCCTTTGCAGACTTAAGTAATTCACATTTTGCTATCTTAATTTTTTCTACATTATTTGTTTCTACTGCTGATTTTAACTCTTTGACAGCAGATGCAACACTATAACAAAAATATATAATAAAAATATATTCTCAGATTGGACAATTTCAAGAAGATTTTAATGAATGCCATAGTGTATTCTATGGTATTTCTAATACCATTCATATCTATAGATGAGCTTGATTTGTAAAAAAAGCTATAAGAAACTAACTGAATGAATTATGCTAAGGTCTTGAATTTTAATTTCAACAATACTAAAAAATTGTGTTCCGTATTCAGTAAAATGTAAGCATGTGACATGTTACACACACAATACTCATATAGATATATTTTTGCTATTGTGATGAAAATTTCAACTTTTGGCTGCAACTTTATATGTGTGAACTTTGAAGTAGTTAAACAGTTTTAAATGGCATATCAAGATAAAATATATACTAGTGCAATAACTTTTGTCCAACTTGATGTCAGAACAAACACACAGAGACAAAAATTTTAATTTTAATATTTTAGCTTCCATTACACTTATTAAGATCATTAATATAAATTTTTGAAAAACATCTTTGTACTATACAATGCATTTAATGGTTGCCTTTAACCAAAAGCCTGGGGTTGTCAACCTGCTTACCATGGCAACTATTGGCGAAACCCCCTTTATGGGGGAATCCTATATTCAGCAGTGGAAAATTAATGGCCGATATGATGATCTTGTGTGTACAAACATAATCTAGTTATAATTTCAGTTAGTTAGTTAAGATCCCCACAATGTATTACCCAGTTATAAATAGTTACTTACTTGTTTAACATTTTTTGCATTGTATTCTTTTTATCTGGGTCAGTAGTTTGCTGGACCACACCTTCATAGTAATTCACAACTGCTGTTGCATCATCTATTGTGTTGTTTAAATCTTGTGGTTCCTTCACATATTTCTCATATAGATAATTTTGTCTTGCCCTTTTTATAATTTTGTCATCAATATCAGTGATATTCATAACATAAAGTATATCATAGCCAAAATAATTTGACATTACCCGCCTCAAGATATCAAAAGATATATAAGATCTAAAAATGAACAACACTTATTAATCATCATAATATCAACTAGTATTTTTTTTTATTTGTAATATAGTGTTGTGCAAGGCATAACAGATATTTTTGTGTATATGTATGTGTTATGCAGTAAATTTTTAAATATAGGATACAGTCTTTAAGAAAATAATGCTTATGATACAAGAGTTGATTTATCTCATAAAACGGATTACTTCCTTCCATCTTGCAATTATCCTGTCTCACTTTTTTCAAGACAAATGGCTATTTTACGTAACTGTAAAAGGACGACATATTATTGTAATCATATTACTGTGTATTGTGACATGCAAAGAGTGCAAGTGACTCACTCAGTACCTCAGTACACTGTGATAATGTCTTACTGTATGGCAAGCCGTATTGCCGCTTTTGTTATATAAAAATAGAATTACCTGGCATGGCCCATGTGAGAAGCATCGTACACTGTTGGACCACAACTATACCAGTTAACATGATTTCCATTATTGCACACAAATTCTTCTTTTTGACGTGTTAAGCTATTGTATAGCTTTAAAATAGGCCGGTTTTCAAATTTAAGTGGCGGTGACCAACTAGGCTGTAGTCTTTTGGACATCGTAAGAACTCTTACTCATCTACCAGTTCTAACCTCACGTTGAATACCGGATTGTATATTCAATAGTGATATAACGCCAAAATAAACAACAATATATTTTAATTTATATTGCTAAAATCTAATTGAACTAGATAAATAAATAATATAAGAAAATCTGCCACGAAGAATATATGTAAGGGAATGCTATTTCGCACACAGCAGTGACAATTGCAACGAACACATCTACAGATCTTTATCATAAAAACAGATGCTGTCATTTGTGACATTCATCGTAGTATGTGACGTTCATTTGTTTGACTTTGACAGTTTTAGCATTATGGCACATGACTAAATACAGAGGAATATTAGTAGGTCGTTAAACGATAGGCGCCTACCACTACCACAGATAATACAATACTATAGTAGTACAAATACATCATCTTGAACAAACAAGTGAAAAGCTCTAAGCCGGCTTATTCTTCGGCTTAATTTTTAGTTGCTCACATGTGCGCTAGATGCCGCTACTTTCCTAGCTGCTCGCCAGCTCTGGCTAATAAATTAATTTACCGATAACTATTAGTTGCATAAGCGAACAATAGATGGTGTAAATCTCTATGACGTTTACTAATGTTGCGGAATGTTCTACCTATACATATAAATAATAATTACCTATCTATCTGTATCGTTTCGGCGGTGTCGTCTTGCGTTTTTATACATATATAGTTTAGTAGGTAAGTATTGCACGAGACTGCGTAGGAGTTTAAATAGCTCGCTTTAAATGAATCGTAATACGATTTACTGTACATAACTCTCCGAATGTGTTAGGTTTTCTTTTTTTATAAATAGATAAGCACTTAGAATATAGAATGATACGATATCATCAAACCCTGGTTACCATCTAATATCAAAGTACTCGCAAAGACGAGTTAAACGAGTCTAAACTCGATGGGGTTGCGTCGTTTAATTACGGAGTTCCTATGACCACCTTGGAACTTTATTATCAGACCCTAGTTACCATCTAGTATCAAAATACGCGTCAAGACGAGTTACACGAGCCTAAACTCGATGGGGTTGCGTCGTTTAGTTACGGAGTTCCTATGGCCACCTTGCAGCTCCATCATCAGACCCTGGTTACCATCTAGTATCAAATTACTCGTCTAGACGAATTAAACGAGCCCAAACTCGATGGGGTTGCATCATTTAATTACAAAGTTCCTATGGCCACCTTCCAGCTCAGTTTAGATCAGATCAGTTCTGTGTCATAATAATATTGCATTGTCATCCGATTTCTACATGTCAGAGTCTAGTTAGAACAAGCTAGATCACAATTAAAATCGAAAAACAGAAATTGACGTAGTCGCTTATTAATCGCAATATATCAACATGTGAACACAACGTAGGCCGCAGCCATTAAAACAATTAATTGTTACTCAAATATTAAATATTTTTTTTCTTCAAATCTATAGGACTTCCTTCATTTTACTCAAGCAGAAATTTGTATCAATTTCTCTACATTTTACTAAGTAACCACTAAGAGAAAGACAACAAAATACTATACTAATTATATAACGCTGTCTGATTGACAGATACCACATTTGTGAAAAAATAAGCAAACCTCTCTAAAGCTTTTGACTTCTTTTCAAATATCTTATCAAGATTTTTTTTACAGTTTCGCGAACAATTAATTTTTATACATAATACGACAAAAATACTCGATCTGGAAATGCTGTATCTAGAATTTCGGGTGAACGGATAAAACAGATTTAGTAGTGCACTAAATAGAAACAGCGCTATCTGTGAAATAATGTGCACAAACTTGCAGCACGACCTCGTTAACTAAACAATACTAATTAGATCGAAACACAATAATTTCCTGGTAGAAATAAAACAATTTTTGAATTTTAATATAACTAATGAGATACCACTTCTCTTAAGAATCTATTTTATTCATTTTTACGTTTTTAGGAGATGTTTAAAATAAAAATATACATATTTTATAAATGATTGTCTTTGTTTTCTAAGACTTACGAAAGGATTAATAGTAAATCGTGACTAGTATCGCCATCTATTAAATTTTTTCGCTCTGCCAATTTTTTCTTCGTCATGGTATCCCTCTACTGACTAAACACTTATTAAGCATAAAAACAACATTATAATTAATATCTAATCTAGTATTAATGAGGATTATCTTCCGCCATTTCTCTACGTCTATCTCTTAACGTAATATTTTAATTTAATAAAAATACTGTTATATAGACTATCAGAAACTATATTTAAAATATTTTTTACTTAAATCTGTTAAAAAATTTGTTCTTATCTCAGATTCTTATTGATTCTATATTGTTATAATTATTTTTTTGCTGTACTATTAAATTGAAATTTTAGAAAAATGGCGTCTCCGAATTGATCTCATTATTTGTCTAGGACTGGCTTCACCTCATCAGCAGACCTCTTTGTAGCAGACTAACAATTATTTAAGCAGAACAATTATTTAATTTTTATTAGTAAATAAACACAGACATATAATTATCCAATATATGTAGGCACAACATTTCCGATTGAAGTGACAAATCGCAACGTATACAATAAATATTAATCTGATTGTCTTTAGTTAGGGAAAAGGAATGTTAGTAATGAGATTTAACAGGGCCATTACTAATAATATATCCTAACAGGTCGATCTCCACGTGGTTCCCTATGGAAACTACCGTGATTAATTTTTTATGAATTCATCACAATGGGTCAACTAAGCTGTTTCATCTTCACCTATCATCTCTCACTGGTGTCTCGCCAACGTAAACAGGTAGCGCAGGCGGATTTACCATTCCATTTTCATTAATTAAAAAAAATGACCTTGTTTATTTGATGATTTGATTAGAATTATTTTGTTTCAATCCGCTACCATTCGTATGTGTGTAATCTAATCGACTTTATTCATTGGTTCATCTGCTGTCAAAAGTAATCTGAACAGTCAACACACAGGTACGAATGTGGTACAAAATTATAAAACTCACTATTATTTCGTTTTCCACATTCTTCTCTATCTTTTTTCGATAACATGTATCAGAATGAGAAAAATATAATCACTTTTTTTATTTTAAACGAGTTGTATTAAAGTGTACCATTGTAGATATAAATACGCTTTACCTACTGAAACTCCTGTTGTATTGTACAATTTTAAGATTTTTTTACTTGATTAATTTACAGTGTTTTATCAACAAAACTGTTGATTTCTGTTGTAATGGCTCTTTGTGTCTGTAAATGTTTGAATGTAAACTTGGAAAGTGAAAAATTTGAAGATAATGTCGATATTGAGAAGCTGGAAATATCAACTACCGAACAAAGGGATATTTTTTTCAGTGAGGTACGACAGTCGGTAAACATGTCTTGACCTTGGCTTGTAAAAGGGCTGTTGTTTAGTTGTTAAATGCTCGAATTACATTAGCTTATTTTATTTATAGTTAGATAATATTCTGTTACTTCCTAAGTATTCATAATATAGTACATGTGCATTCGGCTTTAATATACTTAAATTGGTTTCAGGTTATTTTAGAATCTTTATAGTTTTCCAAATACTAGTTTTTATTTATCAATAAAATTAATTATGTATTGTTTGGAATTTGATTCATGTATATATAGAATTGAAATTCAGTTATATATTTATGAAATATTGTTACTAAAGCTGGTTAATAATATGAATATATTTAACCAATTTAAATGGGATAATAATCATGATATAAATCCATTCAATTTTATTTACGAATATTTATGAAACAAGTTTTGTTTATTTTCTTTTGTGTTTAAACTAGGTTATGAATTATGCTAACAGGTAGGTACCTAAGTATAAATCTGCTATCCCATCCTGTTAGGTTTTACACTTCATTTGGCAACTCACTTCACTTTCACTTCTCCTAAATTTTCACTTAATCAAATTTTTATATTTTGTTAGCTTTGGGAATCACAAATCAAATGAAAATTATAGTGATTTTAGTTAATATGCAACTTTAATGTTACTTGCAAATTCATTAGCAAAATACTAGTTTGACTTTACCGAATAGTACTATTGCTCTGTAATATAATTGGTTTTTAATGTTTGTGTTAGCATTAATAATTAAATTTGGGATAATGACTTTTTATTTAAGTTATTTATTTTAGGCAGAATTATAAAAAAAAAAAAAAAATAATAATTCTGTCTGAAATACACAAATAACTAAAACAAAAAGTCATCTTAAATCTATTGAGAACTTATGAATCAGAGCTTTGCCTGAATTCTTCAGTGTATCATGTATCCTATATATGTAACTTATTCATGTACCTAATTTTATTCCTATCTGTTCAGTCATTTAAACATGATTGAGTTAAAAACAACCAAACATCTTTATAAAATATTCACAATTATTAGTAGATTTATTATTAACAGACTCCTGGTTTGAACAGCAGATGATTGGTCTAATTATCCAGCTTCTATATGTTAATTATTAATATTTTATAAATTTATTTTTATTTCAGAAACTTCTGTCATGTTTTGTTAGCTCTTTAAAAATAAAAGTCACACAGCAAGCTTTGTTGGGTTTACGCACGGTGGGTCGCTGGGTCATCCACTCGTGCCTGGCTTGCAACCAAAGCACTCATGCTGTATTAAGCGACCGAACAAATGGAGAGAGCATTGCTCTTATTAACAAATCCACTCTTGTAAGTATTAAAATAATTTACGTTGATATTTTTATATAAAACCACTTTTATTATTGTGTTATATTTATATTTATGTGTATTAGTACTTGTGAGATTCTGATACTATTTTTTAATGAAACTACTACATTTTAGTAAATATATTATATAACTATAGACTGCATATACATGGCTACCTAATGATTATGGCTATTTATATATTTTTGTATGTAGCTACATACAAGTAAAATTGTTTTATTTTCAATTAACTCCAAAAAGAAAAAGGTTCTCAATTTGCTTGTATTTTTTTTTATATTTATTACCTCATATTTCTGTCAGTTCTAAACTGATTTGAAAAATTCTTTTTTTATCTGAAAGGATATGCTTACAATTGGTCTTTTATAAATTTTATTAAAATCAGTTTATTATTTTAGTCTTTAAATCAAAATGTCTAGTTTTGTCACAATTGGATTTGTTTTTTTTTTGGTGGGGCACGATTTTCAATGTGTACAATAAAGTATAAATAAAATAAAAAAATAAAAATCTTTATTTATATTATATTTTTTATATATAGTAATGTGTTATTTACTGAATGTATACATATAGTTTGCAATTCAAATAATGACAGCACATTTTCATAGAATTTACTTATAAAAATTCAATATAATGCTAATGTGAAAATGTTTGCATCTTTGTTCATATTGTTGTTGTGCAATAGATCATTATTAAAAAGTTGAATAGATTTATATGAAAGTTGGCACATGGGTAGATTATATATTAACTTTATTATTTTGTTTTCAGACAACTGTGGAACGGGTGAATACTCTGAGAAAATCAAATAATTTCTCACCCGTCTTCAATTTATTGGTGCCTGAAGTAACCAATGATATTGATATGAAAGAAAACATAGACACAAATAATCGCATGTTTAATGATAGTAAAGTGTGGCCAACACAGCAGATGATTGGTAGCCTTAGCAAGCAACTCAACCAGACCCTGCAATCCCAGCTAGAAGCTATTGAAGATTCGGTCCGACAATTCAGAGATCAGAAGTATGCAGAGTATGAAGCTTACAGAGAAAGAGCTCAAAGAGATCACAAGATTTTAGCTAGGTAATAATACTATTACATTCAGAAATGTCATTGCACTTTTTAGTTTTGTTATTATTACATATATATTTAATAGGTACTTATTAAATACTAAGATTTTTTTATATCTATATTAAATCAAAATACACATTTTATTACTATATTGATTATTAAAAAAGAATAGAATGAATCATATATGAAAATATTTATTGATCATTTAATATTTTACTATGATTTTATCTTAATATACTTTTATGGGGAAAATATGAATATATCTCTTATTATTATGACATATTATGTACATTTATACTATTATAAAATTGTTTAATAAATTACAGCATTGTAAGCAAGGCGCGGACATCTGCAGTGGACAGTGAGGGCTGGAGCGTGGACACATCCATTGACAATGGTCCCCCATCACCACAACTACCTCCACTACAGAGAAGAAGACTGTCCTCTTTTAGAGATGCCAAAAAAGTTTCACAAAATAATATTAAGGTAAAATTTACTTACATATATATACTTATTTTAAGGTAAATGGAATCAGATTAACTTACTAGAATAATCATAAAATTTTGACTTTTCAACTTTTCTTTTGTTAATATTTATTTTATAATTTGTAAAGAAAGGCAATCAAAAGTAAAATATTTGTAAATTGAGATCAGGTGGAAACTTGTGGAGTAAACTTTTATCTTTTCTTAAAAACCAAGGATTAAGGATTATGATTAAGGTTTTTAGGAAAGAAAAAATAAAATAGAATTAAGATAAGCCAATGTCACTCAGGCCAGATAGTCTAAAATAAAAACATGATAAAATTCTTTATATGGAAGTAAAGGGTAATATTATTTGTAAATTATTCTTGTAAGATATTTTATATAAATAATGTTAAAGTATTATAATAACTAGCTAATTATTATGTATGTAATGTAATATAGTAAGGTATAAACAAAATTATTATTGTAACTATTATACAGGCTATAAACTTCCCGCCGGAAGATGATTCTTTAGATGCGGAGGAGCTTTTTGACTTAGAAGGCATGGACTCGCGTGGTAACGTGACATCAGACCATGATGACTATGATTCTGATCGTAAGTATCTATATCATGTACTCTTAAGCATTGCCACGCAGTCATTGCATGATTCACATTGATTTTAAAATTCATTTGTAGAATGTAAAATCTATGAAGGAGTATTCAGGAAGTGGTGAATCGTTGTAGTAATAGTTGTAGTGAGTATAGGTAACAATTATTGATAAAATCTGGCATGGGATGTTCATACCTAACAGTCTCCATAGCATATATTATAATAATATTATAAAAAGGAAAGATTTGATTGTTTGTTTGTAATGGATAAATTTAGAAACTACTGAACTGATTATTAAAAAAATCTTTCATAGGTGAAAGCTATATCAGGGAGCCATATAGGCTATGTATTACCTTTTAAAATTCTATCTACCCGTGTAAAGCGTGGCTGAACCACTAGTTATTAAACATAAAGATATTTGTCAAGGTACAAATTTCCAATTAATTAAGTTGGTAATCCAAATACCTGAATAGTTGCTGATACGACAGTATGGCGGAGTAGTAGAGAGCGACACTTCCATTGTTGTTTTACAACATTTTTGTTAAAATGATTATACTTAATATTATCCAAAATGTTATCAAGTTATTTTAGGCAATACATTTTATTTAACTTAGCAAATTAACTGACAATTAACTTATTGGAAAATGATAACTGACACCTATAAATACAACAGCGCTATAAATATTACAGAATACACTTAAGGTGTTCTTATATGTTCCTGAGAGCTACATGTGTGGTTGTGTCTTCATACTTTGTAATTTTATTACCATATCCCATCCTACAAACCGCAACAGTCGTGCAAGCATAGTTGGTGGCAGATATATGAGTGAGACAGAAGTACCCCTGCATACACACGGCATTTGTAGGCTTTGCCCTCCTCACGCAGTTTTAATGTCAAATGTCACTAAGTCTAGCGACAAAGTAAAGTAGTAATTTATGAGGTTCACGCCTGTTCTGCATCCTCATTTTTTATCTGTTTCTTTCTCTAGTTTTTTATGTGTGCTTGTCCTAATAATTGCGAAGTTTATCTATAGATAAGATTATGTCAAAAATATTTTTTAAATCTTTCTCTTGATCTTGATTAATATTAAAACATGCACTGTAAACTATGCTATATTCACCTAGCTTCACCGAGCTTGGTTTTTGTGGCATTTTCCATTAAGTTTTTACACAACTGCGAAATGTTTGGTTTTTATTTTGTTTATGCGTAATTTTAATTTTATATTTAGCCACCGTGACTTCGTATAATTAATCAAAACTAAATTTCTATTTATTATTTATGTTTCTGCTTTTTGCTTTCTATGCTTTTAAATGTGCTTAGCGAAATATGAATAAGTTATGTGTTACCTTCAACACAAGAGTATTAAAGAAGTAAGCCTGTAATATAGACTAGATATTAAGAATTACAGTGAACTTAATTACAGTCGTGAGCTTCTTTTTTATTTAATATATGATTATAGATTGGAAAAATTCCATTATTTAAGTTATGCATGCTGTTTTACGTTGGATGTATTTAAATACGTATAATATATTATGTCGGAAAAAGTAGTAGAAATATTCTAATTTTAAAGTTTAATATACCTATCATTTATCATGATCTAAACGCTATATATCCAGTTATGAAGTATACAGTGTTGCAGATTAAAAAATGTAGTTTTCTTCGATCACGTTTTTAGCATTGAAAACATGAGAATTCAAAAAATTAAAAAGGAGCATTTTCCTTTTTTTAACCAGCTTACAAAAAAAGACTTATAATTTGAATGTATTTTTTAGTTTCTTTAATGATAACAATCATAATTTATTTCTTATCACACCACTATTATAGAGATTATTGTATTATGCAGAACATTTTAACAATATTATTTGTGAGAGTTTATGTCACCAAAAAGTTACCAAGTATCTTTTATGGTATGCAGTATTTTCGCAAATTATGCACCTATTTTCGTGAGTGAGACCTGCTGATGATCTCATTATTTAAATATTCTGCCAATAATTAATAAGTAAGTAATTTAATTTAACACACAAAAATTTGTATGTTTTATTGTCTATAGAAGAAAGCAACGATGAAGGCATTCAAATGTCACGGCGCCGCGTCAACGCCGCCAGTGATATTGCACATTCGCTGCCGATCGATATGCCTAAATTTCCTAATGATCGGGCCACACGTAGAGAAATTGATGATGATGTAAGTACTATTTTTTGTTATTAATTTACTCCCACTTATATTAACGGTTTTGACAGTTATCAAACTATAAAAAAAGATCCCGTTAAAAATTTCCACTGTTATGGAAATCAAAAGAAAATGCATTTGCATTACTTGGGTATAATGTAGCTTTCAGTGGTGATTTAAATTATCAACTAAGGATTCTTTAAAAGCTATCAATAACGACGGTTACCAGTCGAGTCGCCACTAATTTTATATTTTAATTTGCCCTTTGAAATGTAGAGTATTGATCATAATAAAAATAGCTGTTTCTTCTATCTGTAATTTTCGTCGCGAGCATATCTCTATATATACGTATTTCATAAACCTTCAGGAGGAGCCGCAGGACATAGCGGCCAGCATCAAAGCACTGGCACGGTCGGTGCACGGCGACGTGTTTGAACTGCCGCGCCCACGTTTCTCCACTCAGATCTAGCTGTAGTCGGCATTTCTTGCTCAGACCTCTCGCCTTACCTATGTAAAATTTCTTTAAAACTTTACTTTGTAAGGACAAGTCCTGATCTACAACAATAGTTATGTCGAAATTAGAATATCTCATCGAGTTGTGTATATTTGAGCGTGTTTGCGTATCAGAGTAAGCCTGAGGCCACACACTGGTGCTTTAGATCGTGATCACAGTGACCCAACTCGCTGTTGCCGAATAACGACACAGCTAGTGGCTGTGGCAGTGTATCTACATCGTGATATAGAGCAGATGATGACAGCTTCGCCATTTGTTCGTAGTCATATAAAACAGAAAATATGAGGTTTCATTGAATCGAAAAAGACAAACGATGTAGCTAAGTTCGACTTGATAATAGGCCATATTTTTTGTATTGTCATGACGCATGACTTAGGAGTTAAGAAATAAATATAAAGCAGCTTAATAATTTTTATAATATGAATAAATACATTGAATATTATGATGAAAAAAAAAAACAAGTTCAATATTCCTTAACCACTGAAAATCAACTACTGCTCGGAATCCACGGAGGAGCAATATATGAACTGTCTATTTTGCAGACTCAATGAAGTTACACGGTATTATATGATACTTTTTATACAAATATGATCTGATAATTTCATTAAAACCTGAAAATCATTTACTATTAAACATTAAAAAGTAAGCCTGCTAATTCTGTTTGTCTCACTTATAATACCAACATAATAGAAAAGTAAGACTATAAGAAAGAGGCTATAAAACGTTACAATAATGAGCGTATCTAATTATATAGACAACCCAAATTGTTACAGTGTATATGCATTAAGGCAGTTGAGTATAACTTCTAAGAATTAGAAAAATTAGCCCGGAGACCTGGAGGTCAGATCCATCCGCAACAACTTGTATCTTGTAATATATACTGGACGACGCACAATAAGTCTCTTGAAGTGGAATTATTCCAGTACCTGTTATAATATAGTTTAAACTGTAATGATCACTTTGTCATATACCTCTAGATACAAACGCTTTACACAGTTAAACATTTTTATTCTTGTCTGTGTGAATAAAAATAATAAAATGTTTAATTATTCAATCATAACTAATGAAATAATATGTATATAATATATTGTACATTCAAATTTTCTGTAAAAAATAATATCACATTGACAATCGATCCCATATAAAAATCTGAAATATATCCGAAAATATAATAAGAAATAAACAAACGCAGGCAACGATTTTGATGTAAAAATGCATAAACAGTGGCGCGTTTTCTTTTGTTTAAAAAATATTCTTTAGTCAAAAGTTGCTTATGACCGGAAAAGATATAATAATTAATCTAAGGTGTTAGCTAATTTTTGACACTCGATACTATCTGGAGATATATGATCTTGAATTTTCAATGCATATAGTGACGTGCCAACCGTTAATAATTTTATTAAGAATATAAAAGTCCTGGTCGACTTGAAAAATATCATAGTTACGGGTCTGGCTTACATTAGTCTCGGTATATGAGTGGAAGCATATTTGTGTCTGTGACATGTTAAATGTATATAAAATTATATGTGAGTAACAAGTAAATTTATATAACTATCATAATGAAATGTTAACATCTAAGTCATATCTCCGTTAATAGAGACTTTTCTATTATTTTTATCAGGTGTTATCTTATTGATAAGTGAAAATGTACAAAAATATTAATACTTGCATTTCTTACTAGTCTTTTAGGGTCACGAATAATTTTTTTTTCAGGATTAAGTGTACCAAATCATGTCATATTTAAAAAAAAAACATTAAATGTACATAAAATAACCATTGTTATTGCTTTTGACGAAAATTAAAATTTTTGACATACATTTATTTTTATAACCATTTTGAATGTTTATGAGAATGAAACTATTGACTCGAAGAGTGGGCTTCATTGAAGTTGTAAGCATTCATTTATATTATGATTTTGTTTTGTAAACGTAAACTGTATTTTTAAGTTAGTATCTATTTGATATATTGTGTTAAACTGAACAAATTATCCACGACAATTCAGTGTCTTCCAGTAGCACTGTCCTGTAAAACGGAATACGTGATCTTTTAATTGTGATGTCAGTTCCAGTCAGTTGTTTTATTTTAGTTGTTTCATTGGTGTGACGTATATGAGAGGGAATTTGATTGTATTGATTTAGAGATCATATAATAAAGATATTGACCGTGATTATAGTCGTGTCATTTGGAAACATTTTGAAATTAAACCGATCCTTTGAACTATACTGCTTAAGGCCGCATATCTCTATTATGTAAACATAACATAATTTATTTTATTTTATAAGCACTTTTAACTTCTTCAGGTATATCCTACCGTACCCTGAACTGATTTCTTAGATAAAGCTCCATCTACTTTCCATAACCACGGAAAGAGAGGAATTAATGGGTGTCAATAATTTGCAGAGATGTTCAAAAACTTCTGATTTGGTTTCAGCTAATATAAATTAAATAAAACCAATATTTAATTTATTTAGGTTAAAGTAGCTCATGAATTCTCTTTTTGTCGAATTTATACGGTATGTAGTACATCATCGATGGTATCATCAACTTGACAGTGGGGCGACAGGACTTTTCCATTATTTGTGTAAATTTTTTTTATGGATAATGTCCAAACCATAGTTGAACAGCTAATTTAATATTATATCTAATAATTTTGGTTCCATAAAACCAAGGAATATGTGGAGGTTCAGCCTGAATAATTTTGTGCCATAAAAACTTTTTCTTAAGAAATTTCGTTGAAAGAATATTTATTCTTTTCAATCTTTTTGACCTTAATTATTTTAAATTTAGATATATATTCAGTAAAATGTGTCATGACTGATATTCCCTACTTTCCGTTTAGCTAAACTAGGCTTTATGGCTACTATGTTTACTTCTTCATTACCCCGTAAGCCGTGTGCTGGATCACGTGTTTAATTTATGAATGAGTTCTAAAATTTTGTAAGCAATAGGAAATCCTCTCATTCCCAATGCACAACGAATTAAATGCTGTATCCCGCTCTTACAGTCTGATAAAATTTTTAGTAAAATATAAGTACAAGTATAAAACAATTATATAAATAAAAAAATTGCAAATATAATTAAATAATTAACAGCTCGTAATAAAAATGAAAATATAATAAAATGAAAAATACAATATTTTATAAATTATTATGTAATTAAATAAAACGTTTTAGATTAAGATAACGGTATAAAGTCAAATAGATATTTAAAAAAGAGGATGAGTCTTGCGTTTCTGTATATTTTTTTTTATTTTATTATCAATAAAAATACAAGTTACAGAATTTATGTTACATTAGCATTCAGAAACTAATATTATATAAATATTATCATATACAAGCATATATACATACATACATACACATACATATATGATATATACACAATTAAATATATACATAACATATACATATGTTTGTATATGATAATATTTAGGTATATAATAGTGCGCCACCTACTCTTTGTCTTTTTCTCAATGTCCTCTACCCAAAGGTTGTCTGGAAGAGATTTCTTAGCGATAAGGCCGCCGTTTTGTATCACTTCTTATTAATATTTACTGTATTTGTTATTTCTCTTTTTACTTGGTGCAATAAAGTGTAAATAAATAAATAAATACACACACTTAACAGCCCACATACAACAGAAAAAAATGACGTAGGAAAACAAAGAGAAAACACAGGAAAATAGTATGTGATTGGTTTTATTTAAATTTGATAAAAATATCAATTTTTATTAGTTGAATGAATAGGCTAGCTACCTATAACGTGTATCTTAATAAAAAAGTAAATAACTATTTAACAAAAAAAAAAATGTAAATAATTTATCCTATAGAAAAAATAAATTTCGTGCTCCTAATTCAATGGAAGTATTGTTGAATCTATGAAAGGGATCAACAGAGATAATTTTATGCTTAAAAGATTGAAGCGTATCGGTATTTTGTAAATTATGTACAATAACGTATGTATTTACAATGAAAGGCCTGACCCCTTAAAAAAAGGGATATGTGTATTCTTAGCTACATGTCATTTTGCAAAAATAAAAACTCTGCTCACATCCTGGTATGGGTAACAGACAAATATGGGCACAGTCCCCCCTTAAATAGGTACTATGCTTATGTCTGTAGGTTCTATTCTTTATTTATGGAGCTATTTCTGCATCAAAGAATAAATATAATTTTATATATATTTTTGATGGATAAATAGTTGAATTTTAGATATCCTCAGATGAATTACTATATATTTTTACATAGGTATTGATCCTTTTACGCCATCTGTCTAACATTATAGTTGCTATAGAAACGGCGTCACAACAAATTGTCTACAAAACGCAATTGCGTAAGTTTAAATTGCAATCGAGTAAAATGTTAAGCTCACGATATTATAGTGCATCTCGTCTCGGGACGGACGCGAAGCCTCGCACCGCAATGATAGTGGACGATGACGATGAACTCTATACTGGGTTCAACGAAGTGGCACCCGCCCTAGATACGCGGAATCTGCGAGAAGATCAAGCTTTCCAAGAGACTCTCAAAACTGCTGGCATAGGAAGAAAAGTACCTAGTCGGATGGGAACCGGGGTAAGAATCTATCCATTTATATTAATTTAAATTTTAAGAAAATTGTGAGATAATTGCTTACTAACTTCTCAATATACTCAGATCGTTCTTTTCGTTCAACAATTTAAATCCGTTATTTTGGTCTTTCGAAAATGCTGATATTATTGCGATTACTAGTTTTGACTAAGTGATGATATGTTATTCAATCAATACTACTTATAATAATTATAATTTTTGTTTCATCTCTCCTTATAATCCTTCGTGTCCTCTAATTTCAATGCTATAACTCTTTAGCGGTTAACATACTTACTGCCGCCGCCTTCCTATGGTTAAAAGTCGACTCCCGTACAATACAAATGTTTGTATTTATAAGTACATATGTTTGTTTTGTGCGGGTGTTTTCTATGTAATATCTATTTAAAATAAATCTATTTCTATCAGTTTTCTATACCCACAGTGTAAGCTCTGTTTAGTTTAAGACTAGATGGCGTTCTAAAAAAATGTTAATAGTCTTGTTTGTCGTTAATTGGCGGAACTTTGTATATGTGTTTTATTGTTGCACTAGCGACCCATCCCGGATTCGCACGGCTGAATGTAGAAACAATGTGGTGCCAGTGTGGAGTCATTAATAATAAACATAAAATAGTTATTGAAAGCTATCTGTATAATATAGAATGCCATCGCTGACTTGTAGTCCTAATAAAGAGAAATAATTCCATAATACATTATTTTATAATATTATATTTCAGCATTTTGTATGAAAGCTCTCAGTCGACTTGATTTCTTTCGACATTTTAATATTTAAACCTTTCTCTTAAATCATGAATCTATTAAATGAAAACCGCATTAATAATCGTTGCGTAGTTTAAAATATCTAAGCTTGTGAATTGCGACTTTGTTTTATACTATATAGAAATATAGTATGTAGTTCAATAATTAGTATACATAATGTTTAAATTGAAAACCAATATATGGTAGATGTTTCGTGTGGGCACGGTGAGCATGCGCGGAGGTAGCTCGCGCGCGGGTACGGCGGCTGCGCGGCCCGTGACCGCCGTTCGCGCCGCCGGCTACACCTCCGCCGCCAGGGACACGCCCAGCAGGGAGGACAAGAAGGAGGATAGGTGAGATCATATGTATATATCGTCTAGAGATGAGAAAGAGATGATTGATGAGAGCGAGAGTCCGCAGAGAATATACCGTCGTATCTGCAAGTATTTTATATACATACACACCAGCTTTTATCCGGGACTTCGTTCATGTGACCAGTATAAAATGTAGCCTATATCCTTATATTTTCCATCTCATATAAATAACATTATAACATTAATAAGAATAAATATATAGCATATATGATAACTTCGATCGTTACAACATAAATATGGGATAAATAAAGGGTATAAAACCGTAATCCGTATCGATTAAAAAAAAAATTCAAATTAGTCTAAACTACATAACATTGATGACGTAATACCTACAATAATTACAATAATGTACAATTAAAAATATCCTTTTAGAAGTCGCTTAAAAACCGCTTTGCAAAAAAGGTAGGGTGACTCGTGGCTCATACTTCTTATGATTAATGGATGCTTTGACATATGCGCAGTATGCACTGTTACACAAATACTGTATGCGCAGTTTATCGCCTTTATTTAATTACTGAATCGATTTTCATAAAAATTCTAAAGGATCAATCTTTAAGTACATCGATATATATATATATATATATATATATATATATATATATATATATATATATATATATATATATATATATATATATATATATATATATATATATATATATATATATATATATATGAGTTATGAGGTAACAAACAACATACAATCGAATTGAGTACCTTCTTTTTTAAATCGATTGAAAATCAAATTTATAGAAAATAGCAAGGAACGTTTATGCAAATTTTTTAGCGTAGAAGAAAGGATCAAGCAGGTGGAATCGAAAATAATGGCGCTAGTTGAAGAGTCGTGCATGCTGAGTGCCCGACCCGATCCTGACGATGACTCTAATACAAAACGAGACTTTGATTTGGGACAGGTACTCAAACGAAACATACCTATAAATGTATATTTTTATAACAATTAATAACTTAATTCTATTTTAATATTTCTTAAATAAAAAGCATGCTGTGGTTGTAAATGTGCCTCTAAGTGTAGGAACAGTAAGTCCTAATCCACTAGTGTATTGTATTGAAGTGTTTCGCTGTATCTTATGTTGGCGATTCTATAAATAAATAAATATCTGCATTATTATATATTTATATAATGTAGAAATATACGGTATATAAAGAACGATGGAATCGACAGTGAGATTTTGTACGCAGTCATCTGCATGTTACTCTAGTTTTTTTTTTATACAACTTAGAATGGCAAACAAGGTGACGGTCCACCTGATGGAAAGTGGTAACCGTCGCCTATAGACATGAGCAGTACCATGGACATAACAGAGTATACTGTTTCGCCCATGATACCCCCCATGCGTTGCCATTCCTGAGGACTCAGGTGTTATTACTCTGTACCCAGTAAATTCACGCCATACCCCACCCTTCAAACCGAAACACAGCCATGCAAACACAACTGCTTCACGGTTGAAACACGAATGGGACAGAGGTACCCAAGCAATTGACTTTTGTACAAAGTCTCCCTCTGGTAAATTTTCAGGCAACCTGAGAATAACCCCCTGGATGGAGTATTCATGGACTGCGATAGTCATGAGGGGTATTAAAATGACAGTTTTTTAATGTTTATTATGTATACAATAAATGCAATTCTTTTACTAAGTTTGAGCAATTTCTCATTAATTTCTTTAAATATAAATATCCTATTAAAGAAAATTTACTTCGAAATATAAAAATAACATCGAAGACCCTTAACAAAAGAAAATATTTTTTATTCTTCACAAAATATGTTTCTAGCAAATAAATTTTCTTTCATTTCAAAAATTTGCATTTACAACAGGCACTAGCCAAAGCCCAGGAAGCTTCTACTTTAGAGCGCCAGTTAATTAGAATGCAAGAGCAAGCTAATCTTGGTGATACGCATAATTTGGACCTCACATTTGCTGTAAGTTATTTATTTTTAATATATATGATATATTTAAATACGTATTTTTATAATTTAAAATAGCTGTTAATTATTATTAATATTTCTTTATAACTTCGTACGCAGTAAATTACATAACCCTCCTACTCCGTTTACGCCCGAATTTCTAATTTATCTCTAGTCATATCTGTGGCTCACGTCCTCTAGTCTTTTGACTTCATTGAACAACATATGAATCATCAGAATATATAGCAATCTACGGTTAGGCTCGGACTTCTCCCCATAAGAAGACTTTTTTTAGGGATGATAATGGAATGGTAACCCCGCTTGCGCTAACGGTACATGCTGACAGGGCATATGTGAGGGATGATAGTGAGAATGAAAAGGCAGGTCAGTTAGCCCATCGTGATGAATACACCTGGACTTTAGCATGATGGTTTCCAGGAGGACCACGTGGGGGTCGACATAGATATATTGCTAGTAATGAGACTGTCAATCCGCATTACTAACAATCCCTTCCCTCCATAAGAAGACATTAGAGCACTAATGCCATACTGCATCGGCGGTCTAGGTTCTTTTTTAGTCATATCTAATTATGATAGGCTGTAATGTTTGTAATTCGTAGTAAAGTATTATTTTATTTGTAGGTTCTATGTAATTTGGCCGGACAGTATGCGATAAATGAAATGTACACGGAAGCTTTGAACACATACCAATTACTTACCAGGAATAAGTTGTTTCCTCACGCCAATCGACTCAAGGTAAGTGTTACGGGATAAATAAAAATACTATTACGATTTACATATTGCAGTATGTTGATGCCCCTCAGTTTCATCTCTCTTATACACTGTTGGTTTATTGGTTCCATCTATTAAAATATATGCAAAACTCTTAAAATCATTTTCACTTGGATATAATCTTGGAAATAATACAAGTAATTTGATTTCAAAATCATGTTTTGATTAAAAAATAATATTCATTATTTTATTTTTTATTTTCAATAAGATATTTCCAAAGATTATTAAAAAAATATGAAAAAAATAATGAATGTATTTTTTAACAATATTGTCGAATTATTTTATTGTGTTTACAAATGTAGTGTAGCTAAGACGATTATCGAACTTGTATTAAAAATAATTGCTTATTGTTAACAGTTATACGATATATTTTTAGGTCAACATGGGTAACATTTATTTCAAAATGGGCGAACATCCCAAAGCTTTGAAACTATACAGAATGGCGCTAGACCAAACGCCAACTGCAGAAAAGGATTTGAGGTAGATTCTTTATTTTATTTAGTAATTATAAGAGCTTTTTCACGCTGTTCATTGGTATTTATTAATTGTACTATAATCTGTAGTATAATAATATTGTACCAAAGCATGCCGCTGTCACTTTCTCATACGCAACCATGTACAGGGCTTATAAGAAAAGCGCCTGTGTACGTACATACCGTTTCTGTAGTACAGTGAACGCTCTATATAAGTAACTCATTTGAACCAATTTCAATAAAAAAAAATCTTATTGAGAAAAGTTGTTTACAGGGGAAAAAGGAGTATAAAATACTTACCGTCTGGAAAATATTTTTACTTATTTCTTTTACTAACTAAGCTGAGTAGAATAAATAAAATATAAAAAAATGTTGCTTATAGAGAGGTTGCTCATATAGAGCGTTTACTGTATTATGTAAAAGTGCCCTAAAGACAAAAATAAATATGTCTATAATTTCTGACGGTGTAAAAAGAGGAAAATTTATTACCGATGTGGTAAATGTAACGTAAACATTCGATACATCTACATTGCGTCGAGTATATTTTAATCCTAAGGTGACGGACAGTCCAATCTAAAGCGGTTGGAAGCTTATTGATAATTAAATTATATATAAATATTACCTTTCATTACCAGAGGTAGACTTTGTACAAAAGTCGATTGCTTGGGTACCTCTGTCCTATTCGTGTTTCAACCGTGAAGCAGTTGTGTTTGCATGGCTGTGTTTCGGTTTGAAGGGTGGGATATGGCGTAAATTTACTGGGTGCAGAGTAATAACACCTGAGTCCTCAGGAATGGCAACGTATAGGGGGTATCATGGGCGAAACAGTATGCTCTGTTATGTCCATGGTACTGCTCATGTCTATGGGCGACGGTTACCACTTTCCATCAGGTGGACCGTCAGCTTGTTTGCCATTCTAAGTTGTATAAAAAAAAAAGGAAAAAAACCTCCTAAATGAATTTTAATTGTAATGTTATAGAATGAAAGTGATGCACAACATCGGGCTTCTTTTAGTCCGCATGGGAAAGTTCCGTGATGCTGTCACCAATTTTCAGCATATTATGCATGAACAAGGAGATTTTCAGACAGGTTTATTTTTTTATATTAAGAACTATATTTATTATAAAATTTACTAAATACTTTCACTAAATAAATATGATATATCCAATATATACTGTTTCCTATATATATAACTGTATAATGTTTATAAAACATGTTTTTCCACAATCCCACATCGTTTTCTAGATAATGCCTGCGTCGTCAAGTTGTCGTTTGCGGTCGTCAGTTTCTTAGCACATTTGCGTGGATGAAGTTGTCATTCCAGTTCATCATTATGTTTTCTTTATATTATTGTATTTCATAATATATGGAGCCTCTGATACCAAATGAATATTTCTCAGTGCTCATAAGTTAAATCTTTCGAGCGGTGTCATGAGCGAGAGTCACGAAGGAATGCGCGAAGGTGGTCGCGCCTCTTATAATCTAATAGACTTATATCAAGTTACCACCAGTTACCTTCAGTTCTATTATTAATGTGAAAATTAACCTTTTCGTTTGTTTATAAGGGCTTCACCTAGTGTTGTGTTCGGCTGCGCTGAATGATGCGGAGGGCGGCAAGGCAGCGTTCCATGCTATGCTCGACGTAGAGCCACCTAATTATCATCAAGATATCACTGTAGATGATGTAAGTACGTTATGACATGGTATTTATATGAAACATATTCTTACGTTTATGTCATGAAAAAAGGTTGTCAAAAACAATATCATGGACATACCTAAGTGGAAATTAGGTTCTACTCATAATAACACCAGTGCCAGATAAAGCCATCATTTGAATCCTTGTACAATTCACGAGTATGTTTTTTTTTTGGTGTTTGCGTTTTTTTATGTTTTTACAATTTAAATGTAAATACATATGAAATAAAAAGTTGGTTAAACAGGATTTTCTTCAGCAAAAACAACATTAATATAGAACTATCACGGTATTAAACTATGTATATCTATTGATTGTTAGATTGATTCTATTGCTTAAAAAACATAGACTTCTTTATAGATATTTTCAGGTCGTTTGTCACGGATTTTTTAATGTATCGTTGATTTGTATGATTGTAGGTGTTTTCTGTATTTAACAATTTTTTTCTCTCTAAATTATGACCTGTATTTCTTTTTGTTTTTAATATAAATGTGCATTGAAGCAACTGTTTGCTTCTAATTAAAATGCACAATGGTACTTTTTTTTATGAATGGTAATGGAATAGTAACTCCGCCTACGTTAACGATATACGCTGGCGGGACACCAGTGAGGGATGATAGGTGAGAATGAAAAGGCAGGTCAGTTAGCCTATCGTGATGAATTGCACTAGAATTAACCACGATGGTTTCCAGGGGGAACCACGCGGTGGTCAATCTGATAGGGTATATTGCTAGCAATGGGGCAGTTAGACCCCATTACTAACAATCTCTTTCCCCCCAGTAGGAGTAGGAGTAGTAGCAATGGGACTGATAGTCCGCATAACTAACAATCCCTTCTCCCTCCTGCATAATGGTACTGTAATGATGTACGTACAGGAGAACGACGCGTACGAGTGCGTGTTGCGCGACGTGGTGCACGGCGACCGGCTGTCGCGGTGGTCGCGGCGCGCCGCCGCCGACGCCGAGCGCAGCCTCGCGCTCGCGGCCGCCGCGCTCGTGCGGCCCGCTTGTCGCGACGACGAATCCGGGTGAGACTATTGGTTCATGCTATTGTAATAAAATTACAGATAGAATTATCACTTATTTTCATTAATAAAATAACAAATAAACTTGTCACTCTAATAGAGTATCTTGCAAGCTCCCTATTTTCGATATTTTTAAATTAATAATCAGGGGTAATTGTGCGGCAGCGGTATGTCGTGGTGCGTGGAGGCGCTGCGCGGGTACAGCGGCGGCGGCGCGGGCGCGCGGCTGGAGCTGGGCGGCGCGCTGGCGGCGCTGCGGGCGGCCCGCGCGCCCTCCGCGGCCGCCGGCCTGCGAGTGCTGCAGCGGCTGAAAGCGGTCGCGCGCGCGCATCCCAACGACCGCGTGCTGCGCGCTGAGGCCAACGCTGACGCCGCCTTCGTCGCATACGCTGTTAGTCTTTGTCGTCTATATACTTTTTCTAATAATCGTTGTTAGTACTTATTGTTTAACTGGTAGAGGTAATTATGTCATAATAATTCTCTTAATATTACTAATATGAAAGTTTATAAATATGTTTCAATGTACGTCACTCAGACGGTTAGACGAATTTCAATGAAATTTGTTATACAGAAGGACCGCGTCCTAAATAAACATAGCATGTTAATTCGTGCGGGCAAGGTAACAGAATAGAGGTAGTTAAAGGGAAATAATATTGTTCTTTACATTATGACCAGCTAGGGAATTGGTCGGACGCGCGGGCGCTGGGTGAAGCAGCGTCTCGCGACGACCCGTACTCGTGTGCGGCGCGCGTCACGGCCGCGCTGGCGGCGGCGCAAGCGGCTATGCCCCCCGCTGGAGGCGGGCCCGGGGCGGCGCGGGCGGGGGGCGGGGCCGCGCAGGCCTGGGCGCATGCCGCGCAGGAGCTCGCGGCCGCCACTCACCTCGATCCCGCGGACCTCATTGCTATGCACGATTTGGGTAATTACTGTTCGCAACAAATTTCACCACCACCGTACAAGCCGCCACAAACTAAAGATTCATCCCAATCATCTGGACGAGTGGCGGTCTTCCACCGTGCGTTTCTCAAGGCACTTTCTTCCACTCACAACCATTCTTTGCAATCAACTTCCAGCAGCAGTATTTCCGAACCGATACGACAACATAACCTTCAAGAAAAGAGTATATTCCTTTTTAAAAGGTCGGCAGCACACCTGCAATGCCGCTCGTTTTGTGAGTGATCATGGGCGGCGCTAGTCACTTACCATCAGGTGAGCCACATGCTCGTTTGCCCCGTTCGTTTGATGTAAAAAAAAAATTATAGGTAGCTTTTACAAATACTTAACTACATTGATTTCTAGGCCCCTTATCAGGAATATGATGTAAATTTTGTGATATTCAGCGCTAGCACTGGAAAAAAGTGACACTGAAGAGAGTCAGTCAGCGGCGGAGGCGCGGTGGTCGCGGCTGCGCAGCGCTGGCGCGGGCGGTGGCGGTGGTGCGGGGGGTGCGGGGGCGGCGGGCGGCTGCCTGCGCTCGCTGGCGGCGGCGGCGCTGGCGCGGCTCGCGCGTGCCCGCTCGGCAGACCCCGCCGCCGCCGACCACTGGTCAGTACACCGCGCCATACCGCATCACACCGCTACACTCGAGGTGATCTAAGGCTTCTTACTACAGGCATAGTAAGAAGCCTGTTGCACCTATTCCTGTTCTAGTATAAAAACAGTTCTGGCCTCCAAAATATCACTGTTATATCGAAACACTGTTTCAGCATAGAAGACTGTTCTGAAGCTGAGAGTTGCTATCACTTTTTAACTTAACTGTATATGTTAGATACGAGTAAAGCATGTTTCATGTAACACAACAAGCAGACAATTGTTGCTATCTCCTTTTAACATAACTCCATATTCTAAATTCGAGAAGAACATGTTCCGTGTCTATGCGATTGGTTGTGAAACTTGAATAGTGGTTACGGTTTAATGGGATTGTTCCGTGTTGTTATTTTTTGAAACCTGTTATCTTTAAATACCATAGACTAGACCTCTCTCATAAAGAGGGATTTAGCAATAGTTGCCAAGCTTGGTAGGCGGGTTGGCAATCGCAGTTAGGCTTTGATGGTGTTTTAAGAGGGACGGTGCTTCCCATTCCTTGAACATTAAATTCCCTTAGTCGCTTCTTACAACCCTCACGGGAAAGGAAGGGGTGGCCTATTCCATGCCAGAACCACACGCTATATTTAATTGTCTGTGTATATATGCCTCACCTGTACACTACATTACAGTACAGTATTATTAGCGAGCAGAAGTCAACGAGTCGCTTATTAACATAAACTATAAAACTTCGCAGTGCACTACGTACTACAGCAATTTAGTAAGCAGCGGAAATACAATAGTTAAAATATAACTATACAGAGCGTATGCTACTCTTTAAAAGCATTCATACCGAAATCTGCCGACGTCTGCATTATTTCTGAATTTTCATAAATGAATATGTAATGAAATAAGTTATATATTTCTTTATTTGTTACAAATTACAATAACAGTTTGCAATTATAATAATCTTACATTGTAAACATCATTAGCAGTAAGTTAGAAGTAAACGTTATAACGCTTTTATAAATGTACATTACATTACTGATTACAGTTATGATCTAAATTTATCTATCTATCCTATTTAAGAGCTGCGATCTTGTCGGTGGGCCTCTTGCCACTCACTACGATTTTCAGCGAATCTCTTCACCTGATGATACGACACGACACCAACTCCTTCCTTGATCTGCCTGATGTAACTATGTCTCGGTCTCTCTCTTCCCTTACTTCCTTCTATCTTACCTTCTATTATAATGTTCATAAGTTCGTCGTGTCATATCAAGTGTCCCAACATTTTTCCCCTTCTGTCCTTAATAGTTCTGATAATTTGTCTTTTTTCCTAAATTTATACCAATTAAAATATATATAATAACTTTTTCAAACTTATGTATACATTTTATAAAAATATTAGGTACAGTATGATTGGTAACTGGGACGTCGGTGTCACATGCGCGCTTGCGGAACTGCACAGCGAGATGGGCGACACGCAAACTGCCAAACACCACTACCAAGACGTAAGTGAGACGTGCTTACGTTTATTATGTTTAATTTTTTTATGCAAAACCAGAAGTAGCAGTCATGTTTACAGCCCACTTGATGGAAACCGGTAATAGATGCCTGTAAACATGAACATAACTTTTTCAGAAATAGCAACCATTCATGCGTTGCTATTTCTGAGAAATATTGCGTTATGCTTTTTTTATGGTGAAAATGGAATGGCGAATCTGCTTGCGCTAAAGGAATACGCTAGCACAGCGCCAGTGAGGAATGATAGATGAGAATCAGAACAGGTTAGTTAGCTAATCATGATGAATTTATCAGGAATTAACCACGATGGTTTCCGGAGAGACCGCGTGGAGGTCGACCTGATTAGGTATATAACCCCCCTCGTGGTACGCCATTGTTCCCTGTAATATTCGTTGTCACATTCTAATAATCATGGTCCTTATACGAATAGGATAGAGGAACCCATGCACACCAATTTTGTAGTATTTTTACGTTCTAACGTGCACCTGTATATTTGGTTTACTTGATGATGAGCGATCGTTATAGCTCATAAACGTTTGTAGCATGCGCCCGTATTGCAGAATCTTGGGAAGAGCTCGTATAAAGGTTATTACTATTATTGAAATGTCGATAAGCGAGCATGAGGTAAAAAACGTTTTGTTGTTTACAAGTAGAGTGGTTTGTTCTATTGGTAGGTGGAGGCGGTGTGGCCGTGCGAGGTGTCGGCGCTGGCGTGGCTGGCGGCGGCCGCGACGCCCGAGCGTGCACTTGCCTACTACGCGCGTGCCGCCCGCCTGCAGCCCACCAACGTTAGTACTCCTGTCCTTTACTTACTGCTAGGGTGTGCGAGTAAATCGAGAGTTCAAGAGTTTTCAAGTTCTCTGTGTGTGAGGGTGTCACCCCCCGGAGGACTTTTACACACAGCTCTTGACTAGTGTCGGTCTCAAGAGTTTATACACGAAGGCCTCTTTTTTTTTTATACAACTTAGAATGGCAAACAAGCTAACGGTCCACCTGATGGAAAGTGATAACCGTCGCCTATAGACATGAGCAGTACCATGGACATAACAGAGTATACTGTTTCGCCCATGATACCTCTCATGCGTTGCCATTCCTGAGGACTCAGGTGTTATTCCTCTGTACCCAGTAAATTCACACCATATCCCACCCTTCAAACCGAAACACAGCCATGCAAACACAACTGCTTCACGGTTGAAACACGAATGGGACAGAGGTACCCAAGCAATCGACTTTTGTGTACGTGGCTTTCGTCAGTAATCGAGTTTATTGCAATTAGTGATGTTTAATCAGGCAGCAAATTAACTGCAACATAAAATAGTAGTGGTTCTGATAGGTGGCGACTCACTGAAGGATTAATCTAATATAAATTATATATTTATAGTGTATATTTTGTCAAACCTGTTATTGTGAACATTAAATGAAAGAGCTTGTAGAGTGCATAACAATTAAAATAAATGTAAACATTTTAAAATGATCATTGTTACAAGATGGCGGTATTACATTTTAAAATATTGTTTTTAAAAATATTTTTAACATACTTATTATAACACACTTCTCTTGCTTCATCAATTTCCATAATTCATCTCATAATTACAGACTGGTGTAAGAGATTTCCAACTTTCGAGTATTTAAATATTATAAAAGTAATTATTGGCAAAACCTCCCAATTTATGGAAGAGGCCTATGTTCAGCAGTAAACAGGTAACGGCTTATATGATGATAATGAACGTTGTTAATAACAGTCATTGATACAGACGTGATGATTGTCGTACACAGCCGCGGTGGGGTCTTCTGATGGGCGGGTGTTTGCGTGGCAGCGGACGCTACCAGGAGGCGCTCGCTCTATACAAGAAAATGAATGCCAGGTTTCCTGATAACGTCCAATGTGAGTGACACTGTATTACAATGCAAATAATTGAAGTAATGACAGTACTTAATAATGAGGTGGAACTACGGAAATATAAGTTTCTCAATTCATCTATATTTTTTGTCTGTATGTCACACAATATCTTCATTGAGTGTGAATCGATTTTAATGTTTTTTTTTTAATAAGATGACTTTTAACTAAGAGTTCATACTATTCCTTTTTTATCAAAATTTAAGATTGTTTTCTAAAATAAATATTAAATAAATATTAGACAAGGATAAAATTAACACTTACTACAAGAGTTTGTAATATATTAAGCACCTTTATGTTACTTAAGTTGATACTTATTTTATATAAAAAAATACCTTTAAAATGCATTTATTAATGTTTAGGTTTGAAACTAATAGTGAAGTTATGCGGCGACCAAGGACTGTCAGAAACTAGCGCATGGACTCGCGAACTGCAGCGCGCCCAAGCGAGGATCAAGCAACTCGAACGCGGTAAGTATATACCTGACACCTACCGGTTCCATTTAGGTCTAGCTATTCCAGCTAGGTCTAGCAGGTAAATAGCCACTCAGGATATGTATTTTTATTTTTTCAGTTTCAGTAACGTCTGCAGGCAGCGGCTCGTCTGGTACCAGCCAGTCACCTATAACAGATCACATTCGAAGCACTACAGTTGGTATGTATTTATTTGCTGATTTTTAACATATTAACTGGGTGAAACTTATCCTACAGAAATTATAAGTAACAAGTAGTTAGTTAGCATAAATTAAAAGTAACAAGTAGTTATAAACCTGCCATACATTTATCGAAATAATTGTACGTAATGCTATCCACATTCTAAAGATGTCCAAAGACATATGCTGTTCGGCGGGGTAGATTCAATTAACTACTTTATCAGCCTATTTAATAATATTAAAAGGAACAATAATTGGAGTTTGAAATATGTTTAGGTTCTCGCGGTGGCAGCGGGGCGCGTCAACTTAGCGCTAGCGACGGTCGTGCCGACAGCGCCCTCACACGAAATACGTACGTTGAATATGTTCATACTTGTACCAGCTTATATCACTAAAATAATACCCACTCCGCCATCTAATTTTAAATTGTTAATACTAGTATATGGGTAAGAGATAACTGATCTGTGATGTACATATTTTTTGCACTTAATATTTACAAACACATATACAAATAAATCTGTTCATTCTGCAAAAAAAAAATACCAGAGGGAGACTTTGTACAAAAGTCAATTGCTTGGGTACCTCTGTCTCATTCGTGTTTCAACCGTGAAGTAGGTGGTACAGAGGAATAACATCTGAGTCCTCAGGAATGGCAACACATTGGGGGCATCATGGGCGAAACAGTATACTCTGTTATATTCATGATACTGCTCATGTCTGTAGGCGACGGTTATCACTTTCCATCAGGTGGGCCGTCAGCTTGTTTGCCATTCTAAGTTGTATAAAAAAAAAGAAGACCTTAACGAATGGACGGACTGTGTTATGGAAGTCGTTAAGTTCTAATCCAAATATATATACGAGTATATTTAATTGCTGATTGCAGTTGACAAAATAATAATCAAATTACCATTCCAATTTTACGATATAAAGTCACATGTACTGAAGTAACTCGATTGTAAAACAAAATTTTTACAGTTTATGATGTCATATTTTTTTATGCAACTTAGAATGGCAATCAAGCTGATGGCCTACTTGATGGAAAGTGGTAACCGTCGCCTATAGACATGAGCAGTACCATGAACATAACAGAATATACTGTTTCGCCCATAATACCCCCCATGCGTTCATGTATGTTATACATTTTATTCTAATGTATTGTTTTCTACTGTCGTAGTACCTACTGAAATGTTTTGTGCTATTTTATGAGTAACTACAATAGTATGTCTTATTTATCGGATACCTGCATGTAGAAGCACTAAAGGGTACCTTATAGTGTTATCTTGTATGAAACATTTATACATATAACAGCTGAACGTTGCATCATTCCCTAAATTATTATTGACGATGTCATCGACAACTATATGTAGATTTCTATTTATCCATATTCACGCTAAATAATTTGCTGAGTAAGCAGAGGGAACCGAGTGTCAAAGTCTCTTTCACTTTCTCGTCTCATGCATGCGCACCACGTCGATTCCAGAGTCTCTTGGTTCTCAGATAGAACACGACGTGTTTATGTATGTATTGATATCTAGTCTGTTTTGCCACTTCTACAAATGTTGGCACATAAATCAGTGGCATTGGTATTGAAATTTATGAATATATTTATCACGAGCAGCCTTTATATTACGTATTGTCATTTTTATTACCTTGACAATGAAAATTTTATGTTTTAAATTATTGTGTCTTATTATTCCACAAAAACTGTCTTAACAATGTGTATACTACGCTGTTGATTAAATCAGCTAATAGCTAGTTATATAGTCACCAGCATTTCTAATCAAGCACTTTTCAGGTCGTGTCATTAACGTGGCTAATGAACTTATTTATTACGCGTTACACACTAGACAGTCGATAGGTATACATCGAAACAGTCAAGACAGTAGCGTCAGCCGTGTCGACGGGTCAAACATCTGAATATTTATTCGTTTTCATTCACCGATTAATTCTTCATGCATATCCAAATATTGCTGTTAAATGCGCAGTAAGATTCTTATTCGATTGTTATTTTGTTTCTAAGATTTTCTGGTGACGGTGCCTTACAAGACAGCACAACTTCGGCGAGTCACTCGTATTACCGTGGTGAAAGTAAAAAGAGAACTGTAGAAGAATTTGATGACGACCTACCTCTGCCACCGGAATAGTAGCAATATAAACATATGTTTTTGATAATTGAACTTTATCAATAAAATAATCCATATATAACAGAATGTTTGTTTTATTTCAATCATTTCATTTCTACTCCGATCGTCACTTTCTTAAGAAATAAATATTAATAGTTAGTTTGTTTTATGATGGTGATGATCACCGATATGTGAAAAACAAATATCTAACATAATGGAATATTTTTAATTTATATAAATATTAACAATTATACTTAATGGATTCTTACGACTAGAAAAACTTAATACAGTACATTAGGCCAAATTATATCACACTTTGTAGCGCCATTCCAAAAATCTCAAAGTATAATAATAAAATATTAAGTTAATTAAGAAAAATAATCTTGATTTGGAACAATGAAGAAAGTTCCTTAAATACAAAAATCATTAGTATCTAACTAATGATTTTTGTACCAAACACAATTATTTTCTAACAATTTTTAACATAAAAGAAATAAACCCCCCTAGAATAATCATTCAATAATTTAAGATATTTGTTCCACTAATAAAAAACCGCAACTTCAATCTTGACAGAATTTAGTTATGAGACCAACATGTAAACCGTTTGAATACACGAAGAATTATAAAAATCTATCTAGAATTAATGATTATAATAAATATTCTTAGCAATATCCTTAGTTAGATTTACGGGAATATCTACTGGATTGTTACCTGGTTTATGGTGTAAAAATACATTTCTCTTGCCTTTTTTATGCATTAAAGATGAATGTATTTAGGTATATTAAATTTAATATCACATTACATGTTAGGCACGATACTTGTGTTTTGTGTTATAATACAGTTAGTGAGTTAGCAGTAAGTATAATGCAAATAAGTGCATCTATGTATATATACTTACATAACTGAGGTTGATTAAAACGAAACATTTAAATACATGTATGAGATAGTCAAATCAAACTAATTAGAAGTACATAGAATACATAAAATTTAAGAAATCAGATACACATTATTGAGTTATTTATAATTAGAATCAAAATTTTGTATAAAAGATTGTAAATGTAGTAAGTACACCTTTTTAGGGAGAGTATTCTAGAAACAAGATACAGAGTAATATATATATACATGTCTGGTATTTATCCTTCACCGTTCATTCTAAACATAGTTATTACTATCGGTACTTTTTGGCAATAAAGTGTGCATGTAAACAAGGCACAATAATAGTTACTTTTATTAATAGGAAAATTTTAAGATATCGCGTATTCCCATTCATATAGTGTATAATAAAGAATGTCATGATTTGATTCCTAAATATAACAATTAATTAGTATATTAAAATTTACAAATTTCCTATTAACAATAATCATAACAAGATACCTACTCGAATATAGGCACTTAAATAAGTACCTGCTTACTAAGTAGTATTGTGCACAAGATTTGTTGAGTTATATATTTTACTAGCTATTTGGCCCCAACTTCGTACGCGTAAATTTTAAAATTAGGAAAACCGATGAAATAGAACAATTCTAAATGACGTATCAAGTTGAAATATACACCCACACACTAGCTTTTAAATTAGGCCATCAGAAACACAACCGTGAAAACTGCATCGAATTTGATTAAGTAATTTTACTGATGGCGGAGCAAACATACGGACGCAAAAAATTCTAAAACTATTGTTTTGGCATCTATTGGGCTTATTTATACCCCTCATATTTATTTATCTTAAATGTGCCCCCTGTACAGACGTCGTCTAGTTACAATTTTATTATGGTAGATTAATTTACTGATATTTGAGATTTAACGGGCTTAGAAAATCTTATGAACATTGAATAATTTCTTTAAAAATTATTTAAAATAATTATACCTACTTATATCAACTTTACATCAAATCACCGAAAAACTCACTGTTAAGTAATACTCTCGAAAGTTATATGACGACAGAACGTATGCAACTATGCACTTCTGCATAATGCTGGCTCTTAAATAGGTAGTAGGTATTTTATCATACGTTGTAAATATATAATATAAAAAGTATAAATTTTATACTTTTTATTACATTAATATCTACAGTAGGTATCAGATTTGATATCGATAATAGTGGGATACAATAAACGCAGTTTAAAATTATTAACCTAATGGAAAAAAGTAATAAATAAAACATTTACAAAGCGATATTAATATACCTACGCAATAACGCTAAGACCATAGATACGAATAACAATAAAATAGTGACGCACAAAAGTGATTCACATATATCATATATATCAAAATTCAATTATTTGCTACATCACTATGTGCAAATTTAATTATCATCGAATGTTATCAGTTAAATAACTTAAAAGCACCTATACACAGCATTTTGGTCAGAGAATGTCTTAGAAGTAGTTGTTGCCGTGATATGATTATTCACAACACATTTATTCACTATATATCACTTACACAAAAAACGTTCTGATTGTACTTATGCTAACATTAGAAACCTCATATTCGAGGAGTGAGCACTATGAAATGACAGTCGCGTAAGGATGATCAATGTGACCATATTGTATCGCTAGCAACGTATCTTTCACTCGTTGGAACACTGGCTGAGATTGCTTCATGGTCGGGATCCGGATGTCATGGTCTAGATATCCAACTCTGCTAATTGGACTGATTAATACCGCAGTGCCTGCACCGAACATCTCCAATAACTGAAAGTAATATTAATTCCATAAATAAAAATAAAAGATTGTTAAATTAAGCAGATACAAGAGTTAGTCTTGTGATATTTGAATTCAATATCGAAAAAATACATATATTTCAATCGATTCTTACAGCTTAATAAAACGATTGTTGCAAAAGAAATTAGTTCAGGATTATTCCTAGAGACTTTCTACAGATAACATCTAAGGTCAATAGTAAATAATTAATAGCTGCCACATAATACAAACATATTTATGGCTGATCCTAAAATAATATAGATATATCCAAATAAGAAGGGTGCAACTGCACAAATCACTGGAATTATGATAATTTAGAAAAATGCGTTTCTTAAGATGGCCTGACTGAGTATCGAATACAGGATCTCATTTACTCTTAGTATAATTCCTGTCACCTGTTACTACGTCAAAACTACAGAGGAAACGAGAAGTCATCAATAAAGTGGTGAACAAAAAATTTCTAATATTATTTAGACTTATAAAATTAAATTATGTATACAAATGTACCTATTCACATGTTATGAATGGATAAATTGCATACTCTGATATTTAATCGGCCGATAACAACTTAGTATGATTTTTATAACTCTTATCTATTATTGTAAAAAGAACTTAGGTTTCCGACTAGTATAAACGGCATAAATTTATGAATTGCCATTAAGCTATGTAATCACTTCATAATCTTGGCTAATATTGCCTGTATTTACATTATAAAAATGAATCGCTGAATGTGTTGCTAAATCTCGAGAACAGCTGAATAGATTTCGCTAATTCTTTTTTTGGATTATTCGTTGAAGTACCAGGATGATTTTTACGGAGAGAAAAATTTAAAAAGAGAAATTTATTTTAATCTTTTATACGAGATTAAGGACGCTCATATTTTATATTTCACTGTTGATATAATACATCGATTCTTATTTTTTTTTTCAAAATTTCAGATATAATGGACTATTAATTTAAATGTAATAATTTTTTAATCACAAAAAAAATTTAATTAATGATCAGTCATATTCATAGTCCGTACCCGACCCAAAGGTCCCCATGACACTTGCGGCATTTCTGCGTTGGATTGCCAGAGATATCCTTTGAGACAGATACGGACTGGAACGGCGATTATGGCCCCTATCCGCAATGCGCTGACTCAACTCTCTTATAAAGGATTTCGATTCTTATTGTAATAGATATTTGTGACTTCTGTTCATTTGACACATAATTATAAAAAATAACAATAAGCTTACTTTTAAAATATTAATATTTAACTTAACATATAAGATAAATTAATACATAATTCCTCCTCCCTATAAAATAGCAACTACACAAATTCCTGGTTTAAATAGTTTTTAGCACTGCAAAAAATATTTAGGTATTATAAGCGAGTACTCTGCACACATATTATTTTGGCTTTTCCTTTCTTTGCATTGAATACCCAGATAAAGATACGATTTACAACACGTAAATTTTACAAGAGATTTAGAAATCACGATTTAGAATTTCTGTAAACAAATTTAAACACATTTTATAGCTGCGTGTCACATATTTATAATCATCTCTGTAGATATTTTATCACAATAATATTGACAATTACATATACTTTCTTAAATACCTACTTACGTAAATTAATGTTATTTGATAAAGCACCCTGTTTGTGTTTACCTATTGTTGCTTGCTTATTGCTAGTTTTTTCCAGATTTAAACTAAAGAATTTTTAAAGGAACATATTAATATAAGAAACGAATTATGTCAGGGATGCCTCCAAGGTCAGATATAGTAGATAGCAGTTTCACGAAATACTCTTTTTTTAATTATCTTGTTTCAAACTGGAAAAAATTAGCAATAGTAATTATAATAAAGCATTATCAAACTCGAAATTGTGACCACAATACTCACAAATACAAACCTATAGACTTAATAAGCCACGAGGAATCGATACAAAAGGGCCTATATTTTTCGACATGTCCCGTGACGCAGTTATAGGCATGTAAATAGATAATAATATTTTTTATTCAAGTAAAGTATTTCAATAAAAAATTAATTAAAAAATTTAGTATTTTTAATATTTTTTTTTGAGAAGACCGAAACGTAACTCAGCTGTTGTTTAGAACAAAAATGCGAATGGATAAGATTACTATCACAAACTTCATATTGATAAAAAGAAAAAATAACAATCATATTCTATTGGAACAGTCAGTTCCTACTAGAAGCGCCCGTTCACAAGTATGACGGATAAACCAGCCATCGTTGCGTTGATTTATATTATAGAGAGTTCGAGAACCTGGTCCATCATGCCACCATTAATGTGGGCATTATAGTGAGCACGACTTGTTTTAAGATACGCGATTATGTCAAAAATATCGATGCCAAATTGAATGTAACAATTAGTATACCCACTCATTACCGAATTAAAATGTTAATCATTTTATGATTATTATGAAAAATATTAATCATTAAAATAACAGCAACTCTGTACTCATAGAAATATAATTTGAATTTACTTCGACCAAACATTTTTGTTATTAATATATTCGCCTATCCTGTAATAGGCCTTTCCATAAAGATTCTTTTCTATAACAGCTTTAAAACTTCTTTCGGGTAAGTCCAGGATACATTTTGGCAGTTTGTTATAAAATTTTACACAATTTCCTAAGAAGAAATTATTGGCTTTTTTAGTCGATAAAGTGTCAACAGTAATTTGTCCCTATAAAGAAGCTTATTTTGGTTAAAGATTTTTAGTTTTCCCTTACATTGATTATGTTTTAATAAATGTATTGAGAGGCAATTGTGAGGATATTTGACTCCTTAAAAAAATCTCGAACAGATTTTCTTGAATCCGTATTATAAATGGACCGTAGGGCTCTTTTCTGTTATACAACGTTACTTTGAAATCGAGGTTGTGTGGTATTTGTTTGTGTATAATTAATAATTTATACTCAATTTCGGTCGCAATGAGATAAAAACGTACTTACCCGTCCTTTATTATTAAGTTCTATAATACGATTCATGGTAAGCACTTCCTCTTTGACAGTGAGGTCCTCCCACTGGCTGGCCAGCTCGAGGATCGAGCGTCGCGTCACACCCGGCAAAATAAGACCGTTTAATGGTGGCGTGCTCAGTTGTTTATCTGGAATATAATATTGTATATTTTTAGATTTATTATAAATTAAAATATTTCTTGTTTTAATATTTTACAATTAATTAATAATCTAATATTATTAAAACCTCTACTGTATACTTGAGTTGCTACCGCACGCACGGTAATGTCTCGTACATTTTGTTGCAAAATATAATTTAAACACGAATATAAAAATTATAAAAACTACTATTATTATTAAATTTCACTAGTTTAACATAACAAAAATTAATTTCGTTTAGGCATGTTTCAGTATCAACTATATTATATGCCTAAGATTAAAAAGCTCTGATGTTACTGACCCTAATTGTTGCTTCAGATATAAGCGAGAATTTACCGGTCACAGGGTCAAAAGACAACGTCGCGCCAGATAACATAACAATATCGGCCGCTTACATGGATATCACGTTATAAACTGTATGATTCCAACTCGAACCAATTTACATTTTATAATATGTACAGTCACGATTATAATACCTACAATGTTTTAATAAACTCAAGTTCTTACATCAATTTGTCACTATTTATAGCATCATAGGTGTACCGTGTACCTATCTTATATAATTAATATGACAGCTAAAATTTAACATTTTTAATATTATTTATTATTAAATTTTCCGATATTATATAATAATAACGAGTTTGAAGCCGATTTTGAAGTCTCATTCTCTACATTTAAATCTAAAATTTCTGTTTAATATTACAGCAGAATTATTATTCTAAGGACCAGTAGGAAGTAAACTTATAGTTTATGAAATACGTTCGAGAAATGGCACTTTGGTCTTAATTATGTCTTAATTATTTTTCTTAATACATTCATTGGTATATTTAGGTACATTATATATATAATCTCTCATATAATAAACTAAAAAATAATATTAATCGTTTACTAGTTACCGAAATGGTGGCATTGACGCATTCACTAAAAATTAGGTGCCAGATAAAGAAACATTATTATGTATAAGTAAGTAAAAAAAAGGTCATCTCACCCGAACTTCTTAAAATGATTAAGTCTTGCAGAAAAATATTTATGAATATCCTCAATTCGGGTATGTGGATAGGTATATAATAATATATAACCGGAGTAAACGAGCTAAGATGCGAGTTACTGCCAGCGGTAAAAAAAGGCACCTTTAGATAGATAGGATAGTTATCTGCTTATATGATGAAATACCGTGGGAAATAATTTTCATAACGCAAGTAATATTTTTTTACGTACCTCCAGCATCATTAATGTAAACACAAAATATGTTCATAGCGCCGACTTCAGTGATCTCGTGATCGGGTCCGAACAACCATAGCACCTGATGATGGCCCATTTTCGCAGCGCGTGCCGTCGTTTCTGCAAATATGGACAATAAATACTATTGTTTTGTCACAAAAATCAAATTCCCATAAAAATATAATTTGGAATGTCCTGGACATAAATATGTTTTGACAGATAAATTAGACATGTTAATTGAACGAACAACATGATAAAACATTTTTTAGATTTATTTATTGAAACTCTTAGATTATATAAATAGAGTGTATTCATATAAATGCTTGGAGAAAAGTGGGTCAACTTTTTCATAAAATCTTACCTAATAAATAGTTACGAGTGATTCCTTTATAACTTCTATATTTATTTTGTTTTATAAATTCTGCACCTTTTTAATGCACAAAAACTCATTTCATTTATTAAATAATTAAATTAAATATAGATACGTCAAGATACTTTACGTGAGTAAATACATATAAAACATTAATAGATAAAAATGAGTCAGCTAATTAGACAATTACCGGACAAAAATTTTGCCGTTTTTGAGACTCGAGGCTCTATCTATATAATCTAAGTTTAAAATATAATGTATAGTAAAATTCTAAGTACATTAGACGGACGGTTTTCTCTACCAGTCAACCATTGGGCAAACTGAGAAATAAGTACTGTTACAAATAGTATTTATCTACAGTACTTTATTATTGTGAACCCATGTTCGATGTAAGTACCCATACGTCATCAACACGTAAGTATCATAAAGTGAAAACAGATGATATTTACTCTTATTATGCTATTACATAATTTTTATTAATAAATAAATGCTTATATTCCCGATTAAGTTTATAACTGCCTACCTATAAGATGTTACATCATTCATTAATCATTAATTTACTGATAAAGTGGGCGTCATAAAATTTTCAAGAACAACACGCGGGTTGTTGTTATTGAACGAACATTTACATTATATGTATATAATTTAATAGGTACTCGTTCAGATTCTGGAAATCATCGTAGACTGCAACAATCATGAGTAAATCACAAGCTACGGGAAATTGTTACGTAGTTTTTTAAAAACTGGCTTAAAAAAACTAAAGTACTATAAAAGTATGATTTTGATAAAATTTCTATGGGATCAATTTGTAAGTATATCCTTTCAGTTAAAAAAATAATTCAAAATCAGTTTACAACTGATGGAGTTATGAGGTTACAAACAAAAAAAATTTATAACCGAATTGAAAACCTCTTTTTTTTGTAGTTAGTTGAAAAAGGCATTTACACTGTTGGCCGAATTACTCCAGATTACTAAATGCTTTAACCCTACGCTTGAAAAAGCCTTCTATAGAAATAAGGAAACTCATTACGGGAATGGCTATTACCGAAGTTTTTAGAGGGGTAAGGAATTGTTAGTAATGCGGACTACCAATCTCATTGCTAGCAATATCTTGTCAGGTCGCCCTCTACGTGGACCTCGGAAACAATTGTGCTAAATTCCAGGTATATTCATCACGATGGGCTAACTGCCTTTCCATTCTCATCTATCATTCCTCTGGTGCCCCATCAGCGTATACTGTTAGCGCAAGAGTGGTGACCATTCCATTATCATCCATTAAAAACAAGTTTTTATAATTCAATTACACACCTATAGTAGGTCCGTAGTTCGAGCCCACTTTTCTGTTGCCTACTCCACCAGGAAAGGCGCGAACAACATTCGGATCGGCGTATATTGACACTGCCCCGTCGTCGGTGGTTTTGTAGTACGTGCTCACTGGACTCAAAATTATGAACAGCAAAGCTGAATCCGGAGCCATTATTCCGAAAGTTGGCTGCATAAGAAAAAATATTGTTCATTAAATATATTAAGGATAACCTAATTAAAAAAGTTAACCTCGGATGAAGATTAAACGTATGATATTATGGTACACCTATTGTGATTATTTTGATATAATGATTGATGACAGTGATTTGAAATATGTACTTAAAATGAATAGAATTAGTTTTTTTTTATGCAACTTAGAATGGCAAACAAGCTGACGGCCCACCTGATGGAAAGTGGTAACCATCGCATATAGACATGAGCAGCACCATGGACATAACAGAGTACACTGTTTCGCCTATGATACCCACCATGCGTTGCCATTCCTGAGGACTCAGGTGTTATTCCTCTGTACCTTGTAATTTCAATGCTATATCCCACTCTTCAAACCTCAAAAATGAGATCTTCAAAACTGAGATAGAGAAACCCAAGCAAATGACTTTTGTACAAAGTTTCCTTCTGGTAATAAGTAGTAGTAATAAGTAAACAACTTCTTGATATTTTAAACGTAAAAATTAATTATATGTATAGTAAAAAATTAATTTTAATCAATATAAAAATGAGCACGTTGAAGTCTTTTATATGGATTTGCTTATCATTTAATTATATTTTGACTAGCCGGTCGAATAGTGTAGGTACTTTACGTAAATATGAGATGATAATTGCAAAACCAGTTATTTTCTTTAATTTTCAGGCACATTCTCTTTGAATTTTACCCATACATACATATTTACATTTAAACCCATAAGTTTTCCATGGAAAAAACTCTAAAATTAGACTGTATGGCCATTTAGGTCATAGTAATGAGCTCCCTAACGAAATGAGGCGAGTGTAGGTATTTCCGAGTAAATTAACATGTAAAAAATACGAACAGCATTTTAAATGGAATAAACTAATGTTGTTTACTACGACGACATCAAAACAAATGTGTTTTGTATAGCATGACAACATCAACAGACCTAATTATACTGTGACCACCTCACTACTATGATACTGAGAATTGGAAGATAATAAATTATTTGCCATTTCTTATCGTTGTTTGATGTAGTTTTATTTGTTTTTCATTCACTATGCTACTATAAAAAAGAGGAAAAATAAATCAGTATTTATTATTAAGAAATAAAGTAGTTATTATCATATAATTGAGTCAAAATGTAATATTTGTTTTGGTAACACTTATATTGAAATCTGTTTTATAAATTTAAGTTGATTTTATAGAGGCGTATTTAGGAGGGTGTATATTATATAAATATGTATTTAGGTGGGCCGTGTCTACAAAACCAAATTGGGGATATAACCTATTGAGGGCAATAAAAATTAAGAAAATCAAACCAGAATTGGTCAAATTCAAATTCACACAGATACCGTTAAATTTATAACCTTTTTTAAATTGCTTAAAAATAGTGTACATAATGAAAATATTATTGTAATCTCACCTCTGTGCCTATCAATGTAGGTCGTATATATAGCGTGGAGGTTTCTGAGTGCGGCACCCACTCTTGATCTATTTGGATTAAGCGCGACATGCACTTCACTAACTCATCGCCGTCAAACGTTGGCAGACCGGACCTCTGTGCTGCCAAGTTCATTCTTTCCATGTTTAAGTCTGGTCGAAACAATCGAATTTTATCGTCTACTCCTCTATATGCTTTTAATCCTTCGAATAACTGGAAACAGAGATTGAAAACAAGATAGTACGGGAAAATTAATAAACGAGAACGAAGTTATAATAAATAAACCTTAACAAAATTTTTATTTTAATTTACTTAAATGGATATATTTTTATCTGAATTTATTATTATCTAAATTGATCTTCTACATGAGAAGTAGAATTCACGTACAGAGTATTTCATATTAGGTCAAAATTTGTAGTTAACTCATATCGTTTAGAGTAAAAAAGAAAGATTGACGAGAATTATTTGCAGTAGTACTCCATTTTGCTCTTCGGGTACAGAACCCTATTATATAAATGTGTATTCCTCGTAATCCAAGATATGCATTTGTTTATATTATTACACTGATAACATTATTTGTTATTATCAATAGAGTGGTAATAATTTATTCTAGAAGTAACTGGAAGAGTTAATATGAAAGAAAATACAGTAATTATAACACAGTGTATTTGTATAATAGGTTTAAAATTTCGAACTGGCACTTTCTAATTTAATGATGACGATGTTGATCTTTTAATTTGCACTATATCACATGCATTCATTATCATACTAGTTAGTCGTTAACTGTCCACTGCTGAACACAAATCTCCACTTATTAGGGAGTTTTTTGCTAGAAGTTGCTATACTTGGCAAGCGGGTTGGCAACTGCAGTCATGTTTTGATAATGTTTTAAACGTATTATTAGATCATATTAACATAGTTTATGGATTGTACTTGTGGTATATTAACATGTAAACAATAAATAAGCAAATTATCGTTTGAAAGCAAAACAAGCTGCTTTATTATTTCCATATCATATCAGGCAATAATGCCACTGATTAACATAGGCCTCCCTCTATTTGAGGGGGGGATTAGATTGCCGATAGTTGCCACACGTGGAAAGCAGGTTGGCAACCGCAGTTAGGCTTTTGGTGACGTTTTAAGAGAGACGTTGCTGCCCATCCCTCGACCATTAAGTTCCCTTAGTCATATCTTACGACACCCATTCGAAAAAAAGGGGTGGCCCATTCTATGCCGAGATGACTCGGCAATTATTTATTACCCTATATTGTCTTGTACATTGTAAGACTTAATGATATATAAACTTTACAAACCTACAAACCTGAACACACTTGAGCAATAATATTTAAAAATAGTTTATTAAGCATTTCGCTCCGAAATCGTAATATTAACGGACATGGCCGTAGCTAAGGTGGCATTGAGGAGCAATGCCCTACCTTAATAGACCCAATGCCTTACCTCAAAATGGAAGGCCCTAAGAAAATTGGACAGATTTATTTTTTAGAAGTCATTTAATTATGGCTTGTGGCCTAGCATAAAGTTCTTTTGCCCTACCTTAAATGTGGGTCTAGGCTACCGGCCTGTTAACGAACTAGCATATATCATTAGCAAGTTATATGAAAAGAAATAAATTTTGTACAAGAGGCTATTTTAACCCCTATGATATGTAATAATATATATTTTCACACGTATTTCATTCAGCACATCATTAAATTATGGAATATTACAACGTACTTGTACAGCGTAGTGAAGAGCTTTAGCAGCGGGGTGGAGGTTTAAGTTTTCGAATGGGGTTATTTCTGGTTTCTGCCAACCGCCAAGATCTTTGTGGTAATGTATTCTGAGCATATGGTCGGTGAAGTATTTTCCAAAACCGAGGTCGCTCACATCGGGTTTCGGTTGAAGCTGGTAGGGCGCGGCGAGCGTCACTTGCAGGTCGTCATACTGTAACAATCGTAAAGATTACTGATTTGCGTTTCAATACCGTCCATGACGCGCATCACGTGTTTATCGGCATGCTCTATTCAAATAAATCAAGCGCGTGGCAACTTGCGCACAGATATAAACGCAGTTCGGTTGTAAATAACAATGTATCTATCACATTTGTTTATTAAAACGAAGTGCATGATAAAAGTTCGAAAGCAAACGGAATTAGGTATTATTATGATAGTCAATAACAATTTAGTAATGAAGCAGCTTTTATTATACGTATATAAAATAATATAGATAAAATAGAATGGCTTACCAGACTGATGACGAGAGGTGGAATGGAAGTAGATAAATATTATACATTAGAGTACCGGGTGAACTTTAGGGGAATTTTGATGAAGACCAGACAGATATACACTTATTATTACATGGTTTACGAAACACAATAGTTTACGTTGACACTCGAGTTTATTCAGTTCTTTCACGAGAGAGATGACGGATGATGACGGAAGAACAGATGGTAGCCGTAGCAACCACTCATAGACTTTTTAATAGTGCTATCCAACCTTAATATAAAATAATTCCATTTTTGAGATAATAATGTTAAGGAGAACGAATTGTAAAAAAAATAACATATGTTTTTATTTTTAATGATAAGCAATTTCGCCGTGTGGTGATTAAGTAAGAAATAAATGTCATCCATTTAGCTTTTCCTCTCCAGGATATGGCAAGGCACAAATAAAGGAATAAAGCTGAATATTCTAATACAAGAAAAGGAAATCTCAAATAAAGGAAACTATCTGGCCAGCATGGTAGTAGTAAGCTTCATTTTCCTCTTATAAGGAGAAACCTGCACCTATCCAACAGTTAGGAAGTTAATGATAAACAAATTGAATGTCCATCAAATAAAAAGTTGTAATTATTGAACGTGATTAGGCATGCATAAGGCCATGGATATAGGTACGTATTATATTATTCTACTAGTTGTATCTCGTTGCTAATTATGACAAAAAACATCCTACTAATCCAGAATTGAACTATCTGTACACTAAATTGTATTTAAATTCGTCCAGTCATTTGTCAGCGTGACTGTGTAAGAAACATTTGTGTTTATAATATTAAGGACAATATACACTGCTCTCACTCGTAGCATGGGTTTTATGGTTGTCACCAATTCTTATTCAATCTGTATTAGCTGAACCTAAACCAGAAAATTTTGAATATCTCTGTAAATTATTGATGCCCATTAATTCTTCTCTTCCTGTGTCTAGGGAAAATAGATAAAGCTTTGAGAAATCAGTTTAGGGCACGATAGGGCTGATATACCTGAAGAAGGTAAAAGCCCTTAAAATAATAATAAAAAAATGGTTGTCACCCTTAAGGTCTAAGAACTAATACTATGGTAACATATTTATGCCTATTGTGTCAGAGATTACACTTACTAGCAATTGGACTGTTTAGATCAAAGCTCCTATTTTATTGTTAAAAGTTTTTGTAATTATAATGTAAATACATATTATATTTTATTGCAAAAATAATAACAGGATTGCATTTCATGTAATTTTATTAAGTACATTCATACAGACAACATAAATACAGTGGGTCATGTATATATATACAATGTTGCTTCACTGTGTTTTACTTTTACCAAAAAGTAATTATAATCATTAATAATTAATTTTAATTTCCTTTTTTAAATAATATGAACCAGATTCTATACTTGGTATCAGTAGAACATAAAATAGGTAATATGAAATCACGTCTCTAAAACTGTTAACTAGACGATGTTTATACATGGGAGATATTTAAGATAATTTAAGATTGTGTTCTACAAAAAACGACTTCAATTAAGGTAAAATCAATTATTTTGATTTCAAAACTAAACTACTGATCCAATTTTGATAAAATTTATATGGGATCAATATGTCCAATATATGATGATAATATATGATCAATACATCAATGGGAGGTACCTAAGTATATCCTTTCAGATAAATAATAGTTTTTCAAATAGGTTTATAATTGATGTAGTTAGTATTTATTAAAATATACATGTAAATAAAAAAAAACCGAATAAAGAACTTTCTTTTTGAAGTCAATTAAAAAAATAAACAATGAGAGGTCTGAATAAGACCAGGATATGCTAAAACAATCATTTTTAGAAATTTAGTTTGTTTTTTTTTGCTTGTCTGTCTATATATGTGTTCCGACATCACCAAATTGGATGCGGTTTTTACAGTTGTACTTCTAAAGGTAAAAAAATAATAAAAACTGAATGTTTTATCTTGATACACTATCTTCAAGCAGTCTACTGTTAAAATGTACGCATACGAAGTTGCGGGCAAAAAGTTAGCATAGATATAAATTTATCTAGTGCGTGAATTAAAATTCAAAACAATATAGATTAAATATTTATCTTTGTTAGTTATCCGCTTTAATACCTAATGATAATATCTCTAACTAGTGTAATTGTCATGCACATTATAAAAGCTAATAAAACGTTGGAAGCTAATTAGTCGATGCATGCGTAGACTATAATTAAATCACATGTTTGATTAATGTTCACTTGTATTACCTTGAAAGAGATTTCTGGGGTGATTTGTGGGTGTGTGTCGGGGGCAGGCGAGGTCGCGTCAGCGGGGGGCGCCACGTGCTCAGGCTGCGTTTGTGTTGCACTCTCTTCCACCTCCTTGTAACGCAACGAGGAACTGCATTTACGAACTGCTTGGAATTTATGCTGATTCTCGAACACCCATTTCACAAACATCTGAAATTGAATTAAAAAATTAGATATTTATGTTACCTCAACAACGTTGGGTCGCTGCAATCTTTGCTTGGATACGAGTCTTTCTTCAAAGTATAGAGCCACAACCTACTACATACTATTACACGGATCAGGTAGTGTTATAAAGGGAGTTTTTTTTTTAAATATTGTGATTCCCCTTAGATGCTTCTTATGATATTCTAGAGAGGATAAAAGGGACGAATAGTATGGTGATATATTATAATTTCTTGTCAAATTAAGTACTTAATATCATTTACAAAAAAATATATCTAGTTGTAGATATTCAGATTACCGAATATTATTGATGAACTTTGTATTTTAAAATGTCTGCAACGAGTTTGATCGCGAAAAATTTTCTTTCATCATCATAATTATATCAATCGTTAACTGTCCAGTACTAAATATAGGCCTAAGAGAAGTTTCGCCAGTAGTTACAACGCTTAGCAGGCGAATTGGCAATCGCAATTAGGCTTTTGGTGATGTTTTAATAGGTATGCTGCTGCCCAACCCTTGGACCATTAAATTCCTTTAGTCGCTTTATTTATTATCCCTAATCGCTTTATCGCGGAATTATACGAAAAATTATCTTTGGAGACTGAAAAGTAAGCAATGTATTTCAAAATTATAGGCATTGTAAGAAATATCTGTCTAATTTTATATACTTTTTACTTTATTATGAGAAAAGTAAATAGTACATAGGTAGGATGTAAGTATTATAAATAAATACAACGTGAAACTTGGGAGCAAGCACGCTCCGACGTCGTGGATACGATGGGCATGCCCACAACCCTAATAGACTAGTGAAACAACACTTTCATGGTCTATTGAGGACGATAGGCTGATGATTGTATTACCTATATCCAATGCCTTTTGTAATTTTTGTATGCGGACAAACTAACATTTTATATTTCTATTAATATACTAATATTGGCCCCACGGCTTTGTCCACGGGAATATATACACTGTACAAAATTTTTATCAAGGCGTCATATTTTAGTCTCCTTTATATATCGATCATGAGCGAGTTCATACCCCGACTCGCACTTGACCGCTTTTCGGGTGGCTGTGATCATAATTTTTTTTTATAGCGGGTGCGCCCTTGTATATCTCGCGCCTGCTTAAACGGTGCTTAAATGAAGCTAAGTAAAAAAAAATTAAGGCGCTTATGTTTTAAGATTTATTAGGTAGTGCAAATGTTAATATATTTCTTGATCAACAATTATGTAAGTATACAAGTAGGTATTAAGAGCGTTCATAACGAAGTATGACAACGACATAATTATCTGTAAATTTTCAAAAAACAACCTAACATTTTTTTATGTTTTTGATTGATTTATTTAAAAAGTTTTCATTTCCACTCTTTGGTAAGCAATGATTTATAAACGCTCTTAAGGCCTACATAAATATTATTAATATATAGATAAATATAGGTAGTTTCTGTAAATTTTAACTAGCGCTTATAGCGCCCTCTGTTCAGAAAGTAATTTCAGGCGAAAAGTCGAGTAGAAACACGAATCTTCTAGTTTTACGATCAAAATTTTACGAACTGACAAAGTTTGTATAACTTATTATCATTATCAAGCATCGAATTCTGTCTACGCCAATGAACTTTTGTAAAAAATGAAAAAAAAAAATAGTGAAATTCAAAGGGAAAAATTCACGATATGCACATTCTGTTTAATCAAGCTAGAATATTTCTCATCTATATATGTAAAAGAGGATGCTGATTGTCTGATTGATTCATATATCGACGCACAGCCGAAATTGTTGAATCTAGAATCTTGAAATTTTACAGATACGATTATATAAAGTAAACAATAAGAAAGGAATTTTCAAAAATTCAATAACTAAGCGGTAAAACTACCAAAATCCGTGCAACGAAGTGGCGGGCAAAAATTTGTTTGACTTAAAATTACATTGTAAATATTATTATACCCATCAAGAGTGAAATTTCACAAAAGGTTGGGGATTGTCCCACTCGTATCTCTGCCGTGAAACAGCTGTTTGCATAGCTGTTTCGGTTTTCAGGGTTGGAATATTTCAATGAAATTACAGGTTTAAGGAGACATAACGTCTTAGTCTTCAAAGGAATAGCTACGCATCAGTAGTATACCATAGACATCACCGTGTATCCTGTGATGTTCATGTTATTTTTCATGATTATGAGACGATTTTTCATGAACATATGATTAGACACCTGACGAAAAGTGATAACTTTTCGTCAGGTGGGCCGTTAGCATGTTAATTATACCACGATTCATAAAAAATACAATTAAACATGAAAGAAATAATTGTTTTATTTCAACTTACCTGGCCACGATAAATCGGCATTTTTAATTCACTTAATATTTTATTTTACACTGAAAATATATATATTTTTATTTCGTTATCTTGTAATTATTAGTCCTCCCTAAGTAAGTATAGATATTTACAATCCAATAATAAAAATTGCCAGGCACTATTCCAGTTGTAGATACTTCATTCACATGTCGCAGAGAGTGAACTGACTTCACTGAATCTAAAGCACAAACATATAACGACATATGATAAGATATTGCGGACTGACCCTGCTGCTGTGTTAATTGGGAATGACGTAGCATCTAATTCAAATCAAAATAAAATATTTATTAAAACAATCAAAATATTTTTATAGATAATTACTGAGCGGAATATTATGCGTAAGTCTATAGCACTGGTTGGTGCGTCGCTCCTCGTCACTCGTGGTGTCACTGAGAGGTCGAGTGAAATGTCTGTATTAGGTCGCATGAGCATCCACGTTTATACCCATTTAAATAAATATGTTAATACAACGAGCAAATCAATGCTTATTTACGCACACTGATAGGTACCGATTTACATTACGATTTATTCTGCATTATAATAGATTACCTACTTATTTGAACTGATGAAAGACTAAGTTCCCCTAAAACGTTCACGAATCTATTTATATAAAACTAGCGTCGATCAAATGCAAAACTTAGATAAGTTTTACCCTTAAATTTAGACCCTATCCAGTAACATAATAATGAAATCGATCAAATGCGAATTGGACTTTTTTTATACAACTTAGAATGGCAAACAAGCTGACGGCCCGCCTGATGGAAAGTGGTAACCGTCGCCTATAGACATGAGCAGTACCATGGACATAACAGAGTATACTGCCCATGATACCCCCCAAGCGTTGCCATTCCTGAGGAATCAGGTGTTATTCCTCTGTACCCTGTAAATTCAAGCTATATCCCACCTATCAAACTGAAACACAGCCATGCAAACACAGCTGCTTTACGGTTGAAACACGAATGAGACAGAGGTGCCCAAGCAAACGACATCGTGTTACGTATATTAAATAATATCATTGAATAGGTTTATATGAACATTTATCAAAATAATCTTAATATATAGAAATCCTGTGTCATGATGTTCTTTCACGCTAATCTCTGAAATCTCTCGATGCCTTTTAATGAAACTATAAATTTTTTTTGTTTGCTCCAACGATTGAAAGATAGAATAGTTTTTATTCCGATAATTTTTACTACTATAATGAAAATATTCAAACAACTTAATAATAAAAAAACAGAGGATCTATGGGGTATATCTGTTAAAATACTGGATAGTATAATGGAAATTATTGCGCCCTCTCTTGCTTTTATTTTCAATAAATGTATAGATGAAGGTAAATTTCCTAACATAATGAAAATTAGTAAAATCATACCGCTTTTTTTAAATCTGGAGATAGGAGTGACCCAATAAATTATAGACCTATATCCATACTCCCAGCACTCAGTAAAATTTTTGAAAAAATAATCCTTATGCAACTTGTCAGTTATTTCAATTTAAATAATTTAATCCACAATAGTCAATTCGGTTTTTCCAAAGGTCGTTCAACTACAGACACAGGTGCAGAGTTGCTTAGACACGTATTTGCTGCATGGGAAACTAAAATGGATGTGATAGGTGTTTTTGACCTTTCTAAGGCTTTTGATTGCGTTGATCATAATACATTGCTAAAAAAACTTGCTTTTTATGGCGTCAAAGACAATGCTTTAAATTTAATAAAATCTTATCTATCTGATAGAATACAGAAAGTGAGGATTAGCAACGCTACGTCTGACGGGTCACTTGTGCAAATGGGTGTACCTCAAGGATCTATTCTCGGTCCATTTTTATTCCTAGTTTATATTAATGATCTCCCATATGCCATGCAGGATAGATGCGGCATAGTATTGTTTGCAGACGATACTTCATTGATTTTTAAAGTTAATAGAATGACAAATAATTATGACGATGTAAATAGTGCTTTGCAATGGTCTCCTGCACTGGTTTACAACTAACAATCTTATGTTAAACGCTGAAAAAAACAAAATGTGTTAATTTCTATCTAAAAGTTTTAATACTAATTGCAATATTAAATTAAATGACGAATCTCTCGAATTTATAGAATCTACTGTCTTTCTAGGAATCACACTAGATAATAAAACACAATGGGGTGCACAAATTCAAAGCCTTGCAGCGAAACTAAGTTCAGCAGCTTTTGCCGTGCGTAAAGTTAGACAGTACACTGATACTGATACTGCTAGATTAGTCTATTTTAGTTATTTTCATAGTTTACTCTCTTATGGAATATTACTATGGGGAAAAGCGGCAGATATTAAGAATATATTCATATTACAAAAACGTGCCGTTCGAGCGATCTACTATATGAAGAGTCGTGACTCATTAAGAGAGAAATTCAAAGAGGCAAATATTCTCACCGTTGCTTCTCAATTTATATATTCAAATATTCTATATGTTCATAAAAATCTTGGCTTATTTCCAAAAAACAGCAATATTCATAATATTAATACTAGATTTAAAGACAAACTTGCTGTCCCCAAGTATCGTTTAGAAAAAGTTAATAGGTCTTTTATGGGAATAGGTATAAAAATTTACAATAAGATACCAAAGGATATGTTGGAATTACCCTTAAATAAATTCAAAACATCTGTTAAATCATATTTACTGAGCAAAGCCTATTACTCACTAAACGATTACTTGAATGACGAGTGTGCATGGCAATAGTTGTTCATGCACTGAATTTTCATTTAATGTTAGACATAGACACCTATATAAATATACATTGTAAATAAACTGGCTTTGAAAAAAAAAAAAGTAATTCAATTGAGTTTCTTGCCAGTTCTTCTCAATTGGACCTATATACCGAACTGGACGGTAGGGTAAATATAAAATTATAATGTAAAAATTTGACGTTCATAAGCGGCTAAAATGTCCTACATGAATAAATGATTTTTGAATTTTGAATTTACTGTTATAGATAAAATTTCCTATCGTGTGATAGACAGAATATGTGGTACCATGTTTTTTATATCTAGGTAATAATACCTATAAAAATACTTATATTTCCTACAAATAAGGGAATAAATCTTATTGCACAAATAAGGGGATAGGCAATAGATTGTGTTCCATGGTGTCAAAGGAGAGAATCGGTCTTCTATTTTCATAAAAAAGAAGAAAATAAAAAATTAATATCACTTCAAAATTGGTGAATCGCAGAACAATAAAAAAAAATTACAGTCGTTTACATAATAAACCCTTTTTTGAGTAAAACATATGCTTCAAACTACTAATGGAATTCAAAAGAGGTCCCTATGATATAACGACGAATATGACGTGAGAATGTTCTTTTGCAGCGCCTACCTCTCTTCCGCTAACATGACACGACATTGATCGTTTTCTGTAACCATTATGTTGCTTCATTTTTACTGTTCCACCTTAGCTAGTAAAAAACACCGCTTAAATATTGGAGGACCTCCAAAAGGTGTGAACAACTTCAAGGTTTCTGGAAACTATTCTGGTTAATTCGGAATTAATTATTCACCATCGGTCAATGACCTGACTTCATCCTCACCTGTCAACCTATAAACTTTAGGCAGTGGTATTCTTTTCTTGGCTCTAAGAGCACACCTTCAGTGTGGCTTGTACGGCAATTATTGATTTATGATTTTCTCATTATTCTATATAAACAAGGGCGTAAATTGTTTAATAACTCTTTTACACGGGGGAAAGGACGAGTAAGAACCTAGCAGCTTTACTACTAGTAATATATCCTACCAGGTCGACCTCCACGTGGTTCCCCCTGAAAACCATCGTGGTTAATTTCGCCATAGAATAATTGACATGATTGTTAGTAATAGGGTTTAACAGCTCCATTGCTAGCAATATGCCCCTATCAAGTATCTAACCTCCATATGGTTCCTTCTGGAAACCATCGTAGTTAATCCTTGTGGAGTTCATCACGATAGGCTAACTGATTTACTTTCATTTTAACTTATCATCTCTCACTGGTGTCCTGGCAGTGAATACCGATGGCGCAGAGGAGATCACTATTTCGTTGCATTTATGGATATTTGACAATTAATTGATATAAGGTATTTGTTTATAAAAAATATTTTTTACATGCCTCATAAAATATCTCTAAAGCCTGTTTTTTTTTTCAATGGATGATAATGGAATGGTAACTCCGCCTAACTAACGGTATTCACTGGCGGGGTACCAGTGAGTGATGATACGTGAGAATGAAAAGGAAGGTCAGTTAGCCCATCGTGATGAATACACTTGGAATTCAGCACGATGGTTTCCAGGGGGGACCACTGGGAGATTGACCTGTTAGGGTATATTGTTAGCAACGGGACTGGTAATTCGCATTACTGACAATCCCCTCCCGCCATATAACTGTGGTTGCCAATTCGCCTGCCAAGTGTGGCAACTACTGGCAGCCAAAGAGGAGGCTTTTATGATCAGTAGACAGTTAGAGGCTTATATGATGATTTGTTTATAAAAAGATTTTTTACTTTATATTTAATTTATTAAAGGCCCTGACATGTAAACCTCCATGCTGTCTCCTTGGAAACTAGTGTCATTAATCCTTGATGAAATTGTTGGGACAGTCCAACTAACCAATTTCGGGGGGAAAGGGATTGTTAGTAATAGGGTCCAATTGACCTATTGCTAGCAATACACCCTATCAGGTCGGCCTCCACACAGTTCCCCTGGAAACTATTGTGGTTAATTCTAGTGGAATTCGTCATGATGGGCTAACTGACCTGCCTTAACATCCTCACTAGCGTATCCCAGCGCAAGCGGGGTTACCTTTCCATTGTCACCCATTAAAAAAAACTAACCGATTCCTATCCTCACCACTTAATAATTTTTTATCTATTCCATCACTGACTGGTGCCTCACCAGCACATGCTAATAGCACAGAGGGGTAACTATTCCATTTTTAATCTTAAAAAAATTACTTCACTGGAGGAAACAGATATATCTCTATCAGTCCCATTGCTACCTGAGTGCTGCTATTATGTTGAAGATATTAAGTTTATCCAGTGGTGAAAAGTAGAACATTATTTATGTATGTATATAATGAGTAATGTTGAAATATATATTTTAATAATAAATATAACAATAAGTAATATACATATATTTATGTGACATTTAAAAGCATTATTAACAGAAATTAATGACTAGTAACAACTACAAACTAATCCTAATAATAATTTATTTATCTACATGTTACATCCTGTAATCTTTATGTAAAATAAAGGATATCATTTTATAATTTAGCTCAAGTCAGGTTGGCGTAAAGATACTCTATCTTCATTTTTAGCATGTTTCTTTAAAAGGTTCATAATCTCATTGTCAAATTCCTTAGGTGTAGGTTTCTTTTCAACAATCCAATGAAATATATCCCAATCATTAGTCGGTGAATTGATAAGACGATCATACATCATAGTTTGCTGCTCATTGAACCCATCCAAGTATTTTTTAGCAAATGTACTCAGTAGGAGATCATTTTCCAACATACCCCTTTTACGTGATTGGTAGTGAAGTCTGAAATAAGAGAATATTTTTTTATTATGGTCATATATAAAAAGAAAGATTTCATTTTACAAAAAAAACAAAGCTTTAAAAAATTGCAACTGAATTTTAATTTTGTAAACTATGTGGATCAAGTTTGTGCAAATGTGTGTTAGTCATCAGTGATGTATTTGGCTCAGCATGTTTCGCATTTTTTCTTTGATTGTGCATAAAGATGCATAAATCTACACTTTTGTTTTGTCTGAGACTTAAGTACAACTTTTCTTAGCAACTTATAATTGTGATCTAATTTATAATTAACTACCCATTTCATTTTTAAATATCTACATACATATCTGTCACGCTTGTCTCCTTTTAGGGTAGGCAAAAAGATTTTTAAATATATAAAATATAAAAAAATATACCTTGCTTTGCGTTTCTCCAATGTTTGTGGTTTTTCTATGTCATAAACAGGTATTTCCAAGTAAGTGGTATCTAAAGGTTTTGTAGTATCACCATAAAATGCTATACCGCCAAGTTTTTTTGTAAAGCTAGAAACCTGAAAATAGAATAAACATTACTATTACATATTTTGTAAGTGTTAAAGATAGAATTACTTGCATTAAATTGAACTGAAATACGCACTAATTGTCGACGCAACATATTGCTACAGATATACTAGTGCACTATATAGTAGTATAGGGAAATAAACACTGAAGAAAATTAGTTGAAGTTAAAAATGAAAAAATTAATAGTACGCATTGGAAATAGGAAAATATTTATGCTGAAATCCTGTGTTGCCAACTAATATCAGCTATATTGTTCGAGCTAAATGGAATATCAAGCTTTAACTAAACTAAAATTAATTTTTTCTGAGCAATTTTTGGTAATGTTTTTTTATATACACAGACGTTATTCTATTTTATCGATGATTTTTAATTTAAGTTTAAAAGTTAAGTTTAAGTTGAATCTAGAGTTAGAGGTAAAATGAAAATATAGAGACGGATGAGGAGAAAAAGAGCTAAATATAGCCTTAAAGAAGGATAGATTAGCAAATACTCAAATTTAGCTTACAGAGCACAGAACACACAACTAAGACCGACAATATTAACAGCGTTATTTTTAATTTATGACAGTGACTGCAGATAATGAAATCTTATTTACATGATAGAGTGCAATTAGTTAAAATTTAAGAACTAGGAATAACAAAATCTTTTTTTTTTTTTTAGTACGTTTGTTCCATTGTGGAACAGGCTAAGGTTAACAAAATCTTTGGTTAAAATAAAAGATATAAAGCAAACCTAATCTGTTTTGTAGGATCAATATAGTCTCTCTAATCTGTTATCTATATATAATGAAAAAAAAATCTATATATTTAGTTGACAGTTGATGTTTATTTTGACAGTGCCATAGTGACATAGGATTGGTTTCCATAGCAACCGTTGTTGTGACGAGTAAAAATTTAAAATACTTAATTTAATTAGAAAATTATTAAAAAAGAATAATATTATATAGGTTTAGATATAAGTTTATTGATTTCTGGATAGGTATGTAATAATCGTCAATTGGAGCTATGTCTTCTGCACGGGAATTCATAATATATATTACTGGTAAATAAATTAATTTGGTATATAAAATATTAAACGCTATATTAGTGTATGTTTTTTTTATGGGTGATAATGGTATGGTAACCCCGCCTGCGCTAACGGGATACGCTGGCGGAGCACCAGTGAAGGGTGATAGATGAGAATGAAAACAGGCCAGTTAGCCCATCATGATTAATTCATTAGGAATTAACCATGATAGTTTCCAGGGAGAACCGCGAGGAGGTCGACCTGGTTGGGTATATTGCTAGCAATGGGATTCTCAGTCTCCATAACTAACAATCCCTTTCCCCCCTATTAGTGTATGTTAGCTACATATATATCTTTACTAAACGACCTTATTAACTATTTATTTAAATTCAAATACTTGTTATTGTCCATCGACAATGCTTTGTTATACACAATCATACAAATATTTAATATGTATAGATATGTGAAAACTTCTAAGGAATTTTTATTCATGCTTAGATGGGATTGCTGAGTAAATTTGAATTAGTTTTGGCTTATATGGAAAAAATCCATAATACATATGATTTTTTATTTATTGGCAGTGATTTTTTTATAATAAGTATCAATATAAATAATTTCTATTTATATTGTATTATAGATTCAGAAGACAGTTTTACAACAACAAACATTTTTAACAGCATCAATATTTATCTCAAACTTTATTTCTTATTTAAATTTTATAATTGTACACCAAATATGTACCTTAGAAAGTAGTGCAACTCAAAATAAACTTTGAAAAACTTTATTTCACATTCTATAATTATTGTATTAAGGAATTCAATATTTTATATTTACAGAGCACTATTATTGTAAGACTAAATTAAATGTGAATGAAAATCATGAACAAGTACTTGCTGACTTCATACAAAATGCACATACACTTTTGTTGCAAGGAATTGTGGAGGGAGATTCTTTATTATTTTTTACAAAGGTAAATTATGTCCACTTTTAATTTTATTATAATAAGTGCCACAGAATTACACCAATCACCTGGTTTTCAAATTAGGATACCTTGTGTTACAAGGATTGGAACAATTATTGTAACATCTGGGCACAAAATTCTCCAATTGCAAGAACTTATTAAATAAAGTTTGTTTAATGAATTAACCTGACTGAGAATTGAACCTGAAACCACATTCTATATAAAATAGTAATGTAGTATAAATATTTTAATACCATAATAGTTTATTATAGTCCTACAAACCTGACCCATAAAGGGCATTATATTATTACAAGTTTACAAAAGGTAATATATTACCATTCTTACTGGATCACATTGGTGGAGTTTTATTAGATTTTTTTCTTTTTTGTGTGTATATATGTAATGTGGTTTCTTATCTTAACCCTTAACAATGATTGTTTTTATTTTAGTGTATTTTTTGGTATTATATGTATTTGAGAATTTTTCAGATATGCAGTAACAAAAACAAGTCTGTGGTTTTCTACAAAACTTATCCACAAAATTTGCTTCAAGAAGATTCCATAAAAAGCATAAATATCATAACATTATCAAACAGCGCGGCTGAATCATTATATCATATATTACAACAAGTTTCACCATTATTAAGCCTAGTGAGTAAAAAATATTTCATAACATAATAATAGTGACTGCATATAAAATTTACTTATTACATGTATGGTGTTTTTTCAGGAAGATAATCTCTATTCAAACAAATTACAAAAGAACCTTTCAGAGCTTGAGATTAATCTACGGATACTTACATATGGAAAAAATGATCAAACAATGCATTGTTAGTATTTTTATGTATTATAAATGTATGTATAATGTATTATAAAATATATATAAATATTTTTATTATTTTATATGAAAGGTACCATAACAAAAAAGTTTATATATACTATGTCATGGTGGTATGATATTGTGCCATGCTATGATATCTACTGCTAGTTTTCACCATGCAGGTTTTTCCATATACTTACATAATTGTGTAACATATAGAAATTATTTAAATGTATATGAACAAAAAAAAATCAGTTTTATTATTTATGAAACCACATTATGTACAGTATCATACATTTTTATACATAATTTGATATGGTAAATCATATTCTATCAATCATGTTATCCTGATATTTTTTATTTATACTATGAAGATGTTTTTAATTTTTCATAGATAAAATAGTTACAAAAAGAAAAAAAAAAGTAAACAATATAAAGTGTAATACAATATTATTAATATAGAACTAAATACATGGGAGCAAATCTATTAGTCAATCTATAATCAAACATAAAATGAAAAACTAAGGTGGCATTTAAACATTTACATGTATTGGAATGCATGACAATTCGTCATATAGGTGTGGAATGGCTACCCTTTACCATATGTATCGTAAAAGGCGATTAAGGGAGCTTATGGTCGAGGAATGGGCAGTAGTGCTCTTATTAAAACAACACCAAAAGCAAAACTATGTTTACCAACCCACTTGTCAAGCATGGTAACTACTGGCAATAACTGACTTATGAGGTGACTATTGACATTGGTAGCCCTACTTCATCCTCACTCCTCCTCACTTCATCCTAACTTCACCCCCTATAAGTTTTTCCCAGAAGAAAGTAGCCTATAATCATCTCTAGGATCACATTTATCTTTATACCAAAATGCATTATAATCGATTCAGTGGTTTAAGCATGAATGCGTAGCAAACAAACATATAAACTCATTTTTGCATTTATAATATTAGGATTGTCACTGTTTTTAGTCATTATGTCAATCGAGGATGAAGTAAACTATTGGAACCTACGTGCACAAAAGAAAGATAGTCCCAAGAAGGAAAGAGAATCTGCATCTACAATCTGCGAATTTTTTGAAGATATTTCAGAGGAATTAAGGTGAATTATGAAAAACTATTCTTTAAAAGTATTTACTGTAAATATTAGCCTTAGATTTTTTGTTTCTAGATAGATTATTGAGTGTAAAGTGTTAAAGTACATATGTCAATTAGTTGCACAATATCCATCCATACTACCAATTCTGCATTGTATGAAACTAGATGGTGCTGTGTGAAACGCAAAACCCAACCCTATTAAGTTAATATATAAAAGTTTAGTGTAATTTTGTTTACTTGTGTAATATTAAATGTAAATTTGTTTGATTTAATGTTATAGGTCAATTCAATCTAGCAGTATTTCTGAAATACGAGAAATCACAGAAAATATCGGTGGTCTTTTAGACGACGTATGGCGTTTCACAACATTACTCTATCCTGAGGATCGAATGATGCACATATTTGATATTATTAGTAAGTATATAAGATTTTTTTTACCTTCTATATTATTCTGATAATTAAACAGAGTTATGTCGGAATTGAAGCAATTGGAAAAACTACAGCACCTTTCTCATCTATTATTATTTATTTTTAAATGTGGACTGAATATTATTTTTATTCCGGAAGATTTTTGGTAACACGTAGATACACTACATAGATAGATGATTAATCACGTACATTTTGCTGCTTGTAAGGCAGAGATAGAACTCTCGAGTAATTCAGTGTAGTTTGAGTTGTTTAACCGCTCGATATATTATTATTCTCTTGAAAATAGCTTTAGTGGTATTCGAAAATAATCTTAGTCAGATTCACGAGCAAGCCTTGGTCAATTTACTTACATCTAACGTAATCTTTTTTTAGGTCACACTATATGTACCACTATTCAAAAGAGCTGCACTAATCTTGAATTATGGAAAATTCAATCAACATCAAAAGAAAATGAGATTTTAATACACTTATCTGAAAGTCTTAAAGTTATACAAACTTGGATTAGTGCATGTCAGTCACTTACAGAAACCTATTGGCCGAATTATGCGCTTCATACATGGAATGGAAAGGCTTATGTACCACAGTTTTGTTTCAATTTTCAGACAAGACTGAAAGAGGTGAAACTTTGTTCCTTTTGTGATTTATTAATTTTGTTTCGAGATAATAGTGATATATTTTTTTTTACTGCAGATTAATCAAATACGATCTACATATTCTCAGTTAAATAAGCTTTTGACTAATAGTGAGAAAAGTGAACTAAAAACTCATTTATTTTTTGAACCCTTTGAAAGTAAGTAGCTGTCTTAGTTATGGAAAATGTTTTGTATGTAACAGATTGATAAAAATAATAAATTATAATAATGTTGTATGCCTAGGTATCAATATATGGTTGTGCAATGGCCCAAATCAAGCTTGGGAATCTGCAGTGGCAACATTCGCAGCAGCGTTAAGACCAGCTGAATCTAAAATTGCCGAAAAATTAAAGCCGAGGCTTCATAATACATCAACTAAGCAGGTATACTAAGAAGGTTATAGTGAAATTTTGCTTTACATCGACACGGTTAAAATGTCTGACTTATCCTTGCTATCAAGAAGTATTCTGACCCAAAATTCAGAATAGATAGTAACCCTAAATTACTATAAATTTTTTATTGTGTGCAAAGTGGGCCATAAATTTATGCACTTTTGAAACACGAATAAAAATAAAACTACGATTGTTGTTTTATTACTCATTTATTTAACATAATAAATATTTAAATAAATTGATTTCTTAAATAACATTGTTGAGTTGTTGAGATGTGCGCTGTGTCGTCATTAGCACTCTTGCAATCGACAAAAGCTGCAAAAGATCGTGGCTATCTTCTCTTGGACGTCATGTTTTAATTGGGATATAATTGGGGTATAACATTGTTTTACATAAAAAGTACAGTACTGTCCCGTGAAGCACTCCTTCGTGACTAAAATTGCACGAAGCAACGCAGTTTCCCGTTACCCGCGCGCTCTTCTTCTTAAGGTTTTTGAGGAATGCAGTGTTGCTATATACAAAAATTTTTGGCCTATTATATAATATTATATTTTTTTCAGATGCTGTATGAGTTTATGCGATACAAGGCATTAATAGAAAGACCCCTTGTCAAACAGGCCCTTAATAGTGAATTGGATATATTTGTATCCTCCCTCTTCACTATGCTGAAAACAATACAAAGTCAGCTGGACTCTGATGAAACAGATGTTAAAATGTATCAGCCGCCGGAAATGTCGCCCATCGTACAAAAGGTCCAGTGGGCAAAACAGATGGAAACTAAAGTATGTAAATTTATTAATGATAATGTTATAAAAAATATACAAATCATAATGCGTTAATTGTTGTGTGCATACAAAATTATGAAGTGGGCAGAATTTGAAGCCTCATTTTTTACACCACATTCAAACACAATTCAATATTCAGAAATATTGAAAAATGTTTTGTTATTTTTGAAAATTGACGAAGTTTGCAAGCAGCATTATCAATAAAAAGTAAAGTTGCTTGAAAGTGATTGGAATCGTTGTTTGTTTTTTATTTATATTATACAGTAACAGAATTGTTCTGATTACATATTAAAAAGATTTCAATTTATTTTCAGGTAAAAGATATTCAAACATGTGTCGAAAATTATCTCAATGAGTTTGAAAATAGTATTGAATTGTCTAAACTTTCTGTTCGTCTCTTGAAAGACCTTAAAGACATGTACATGCAACTTCACGAAGAGTGGTGTAGAGATTTGCAGGTACATACATTTTCCTATAAGGGTCAAGAATTTATAGTTTAAAAAAGAAACCAGCTTTTATTCTTATTCATCTATAATCGAAGAATTTACAAAATTAGTTATGAGATAAATCCTTTTAAAATAGACAATTAGCGAAGATCATGTAAGAAATCGTGTGCCGTGTGGTTCCAGCATAGAATGGGCCACTTTTCTTTACATGTGGATGTCGTAAGAGGCGATTAAGAAAACTCTAGGAGTGGACACCAGCATCTCTTAAAATCATCACCAAAGTCTAACTGCGGTTGCTAATCCACTTGCCAAGCGTGGCAACTACTGGCAACCCTTTCCTACCTATTAGAGGATGTCTATGTTATGCAGTGGGCAGTTAAGGGCTGATATGGTATAATCGTGGTAGAAATAAAAAAAAAACAAAATGCAGTGAAAGTCAAAACCTGTGACAATTTAAAAGTCTCTTTGATTTGGCAATGAAAAAAAAACAATAATTAAAATTTGGTATTTTATATACGGTGTATTGCTTAACTTGTAAGAAATATATAAATACACAAATGAACCATGTTACTTCTATAAAGTAACATTTTAATTTCTATTTAAGGCCCAAGTGAAGAATGGATCGCTTCAGCTAGCATTGGATAAGCCAGTGGTAGAATTTTGCAGTAGCAACCGCCTCATGGTGGTGAATTTCAACCCGCGGCTAGTATGGGCCGAGCAAGAAGCACGAGCGCTGGCCGCGTGTGGACTGCCGCTGCCCGCCGCCGCTTCTGCCCTAGATGCACTTTCTGCCGCACTTGTGCACGCTCGTGCTTTACAGCAGGTATATAATTTATGTATAGGCAACTGTATTGTAGAATCTAACAAACTTACTAAATTTGTCATTTCAGGGTTTAATTTTGTGTCCTTCAATGGGAATACAGAACTTAAGTCGCAGCGTTATAATTACCTTTTTCTGTACTTATAATTTTTAAATATAGCCGATAATATATACTTATTATTATCAAAAAAAATATTGGTAGTAAAAAGTGACAAATTTATTTTATTTGTTCCTACTGGATACACAATAGTAGGGGCAGGTGGGAAAAAAAACCTATTTTTACCACTCAGGGGCAAAACATGATAGGGACAAGTGGCACTAGCCTATCACATAGTTCAGCAGCGATCTACTACGGAGACTTTTATGTAGGCTAATAATAAACACAGTATTAAGTATAACTTTGACCATGAATAAGAATGAATAGTTCAAACTTGAAATATTAGACCATTTATACCGGAATATGGGTACATTTGCTTCAATTGTCAACTTTCAAAAATAATTAAGTAATTTTTAATGTATTTGTATGATTAATATAAAAGTGATTTATTGTTTAACATGTGTTGTACATATGTGATATATAAGTGAGAAAATACTTGTACTACTTCCTTGTGCTACATAAGGTAAAGACGAATTTTAAATTCCTAAGCGCCAACAATAACTATTATATTGTATGTATATTATAATCATCATTTTATGTTGTTTATTTATATATTATTTATTGTGTATAGGTATACATTATTAACTGTTATTTTCTTTACCTATCCTATTTTTACGAACCCAAAGGAATCCCAGTAGTAGAGTACTAGCATTAAGTCCGCCTTTTATATCATATTTTCTTTTGGTCATTAAAGTTATTTAAATGCATATATAAATAAAATGTTAACGGTATTTATGTACTTAATTTCAGGTGGCATCATTCCATAACACATTAGGCGAACGCATGATTCCGTCAACGCGGCCGATGATGTTGCAGGCCGCACTAGACCTATCTGCCCTCGTTCAAGACCAAAAGTCAGTGTACTGGAACGACGTCGAACAGCTAGCGAACTACACTGACAAGTTGAAGAAAGTTGTTCTTAAACTCGAGTCACAGGTAAGCGCAATCCTCCAAACACTGAGTAGTTCTACCAACTCACTAAACGAATATTTAGAAGGCAAACATGCTTGACTATAGTTTGGGTATGCATCTGAGTTGCTTGTTAAAAACTTGAGTTTCTTGCCGGTTATTAATCTACTAGCTGAATTATATTTTGGAAAAATTTACTGGGTTAACTAATACTGATTAATTTATTAAAAAAAAAAGTATTTTTTATTGTAAAAATGATATTTTAACATTGAATTTGTATTACAGAATACTTATTTAACAAGTCAACACATAGCTATACGGAACATTGTGGAGAAACTGATAGACACTGAACTTTTATCACAACAATCCGAATGGAAGAAATCTATAAAGGACATTAGAGACATAATAGACAAGGCAAGTAACATAGTTATTTGCATATTTAGTATTTATTAATATATTACTTTGAAAAACCGAATATTGTTTGTTTAAAAATAAATTATAAAACAAATTTATTTTTATATTTAATAGTTACTTTGATTGAACTATATGTAATTTGAACTATATGTAATTTGTTCTATGAGTAACGTTTTATGGTATATAAATGCTCGAGTGCTCTTATAACTCAGTCAGTAATATGTATATCTTAAAACCGACCTGCCCCGGCTTACTCATGTGAAATCTACCCATTTAATACGTAAAAAATTCTTTATTTTAGGAACGAAATTCAGCCATGGGTAATGTAGATTTTATTGAAATTTCTTAAATGCATATTGTTTGCTCTAACTTGAAGAATAGAAGAAGAATAAAGGGTCGCCAACGTGCATGTAACATCTCTGATGTTACAAGAGTCCATAGGCTACGGTAATTCCGTTTACCTTCAGACGGGCCCTATGTTTGTTTGCCACCATAGTAGTATAAAAAAACTTACTGAGTGTTCGTAAACAATTCATTTTTCGAGCGACTATACGTATATAGTGTATACACAAAAAGGCTATGAATCTCTCACATAAACATATGTATACTCGAACTGACTCTAAACTAAATTATTTAAATTTGTTCATCGTACCACTGCTGTTAACTTTCTCGCGTTGACTTCCAGTGTGTGGTCATAGCTATATTGTATCATAGGCTAATTTTGTTTAGTAAAATAAACTTATAATTTATTATCCTGATAACAAAAATGGATCTGATAGGTGGCGGTAGGGAAAAAACCGACATTTGTCGAGTAGTCTAGTTAATAGATTATTTAGTTTAAAATATTAAAGTTATCTTTAACATATTTATAGGTTGAATCTAATGGCTACAAGAATACGGAATTATGGAGATCACATTGGGATTGGCAACTGTACAAAGTTTTGGAGTGTCAATATATAAAGACGTTGCTCTCATTGCATAAACACTTTCCACACGTAAGAGTGGATTTAGTAATCCGGTAAGTACAAAGATATATATATATATATATATATATATATATATATATATATATATATATATATATATATATATATATTAAATCTTCAATGTTCTACTTATCGTTGTGTTTACTGACAATGTTTTGAATATGGCTTCTTTTATCATCATATCGTAAGCTTAGCTCCACATTTCATCATCATCTTCACACGAAGGTCGCCTCACTAGCCTTAGTGTGTTATTTTAAATATTTAAATACGGCATACACAGCGTCGTATCACATACCATCTTTCTTTTTCATATGTACAGATGTTAGCGCCTAGTATAATTTCATGGAAAGCGGTTTTTTGTTTTAATGGGTGATAATGGAATGATAACCCCGCTTGCGCTATCGATATACGTTGACGGGGCACCAGTGAAAGGAAAGGTGACGACGAAAGCAAGTCAGTTAGTGCATCGTGACGAATTCCACTAGAATTAACCACGAATGGTTCCCAGGGGGAACCGCGAGGAGGTCGAACTGATAGTGTAGGTATATTGCTAGTAATAGGATTGTTCTTCCCCATTACTAACAATCCCTTTCCTCTCATTGTAGGAGGTAACCTCTTTGTATATAAAGATGCATAATGGATATTAAATATTGTGCCCCAGCGGACACAAGGTGTGCGTACAGCCGGCGATGGAGGAGCTCCGTGTACAACACTACCACCAGTTGCGACGGCTAGTTGCTCTGCCGCAACACTTCGTCGGCCTCAGCGACGAGAGACAACTGCAACGGCCCATATTTGCAAATATAGTTGACAAGTACGTAAATTTGTCTATCATCAAGAAAGTTTAATTATTATTTATATATAATTTAATTGCACTTGTAAGAAAAGTATGAAGTGAGTTAACGAGCAATTTATTTATTTAACTTTAATGCACAGTGTAATTGTCCACAGTGGATAGTCCTCTCGTGAAAATGCTCGCCAAGAGGAATAGATCATTATTAGTGATTAAGTATTAACATAGTTTTTAAGTACATTTACTAACAAACATAGATCCAAGTTATCTAAAAATAAATAAATAAAAAAAATTGTACATTTGGCGGATTTAATATCATATGATATAATACTATAAATATCTATTTAGAAGTATTTCAAACAAATTTATATTATATATGTTATAATATAAATTAGTGTGTCCAGAAATTTTGACTAATATAAAAGCTTGATAGTGTTTTTAAGTAGGATTTGCTATTTTTGTCCTAATTGGTGAAATATTGCTGATACATACAGATTTAGATTTACAGTACTTATATGTGAACTTTCGTGTTTTGACTCGAATTATTAATAGTTTTTGGTAAACTGCACAAATGATGTTCATTGTTTTGTTCATGTCTATAGGCGAGGTACACCACATTCACAAAACAAATATTATAATGCATATATTTTTAAATATGTGCATTATAATAATTATTTTGTCTCCTAAGGCATAACTTACATTATTTTTATAATTTATTATGAATATTATTTAATATCATTTTGTTACTATTACAATAAAATCAACTAAGTTTTATTATTATTAATAATAATAAATAGTTTTAAAATGTACTAAATCTTGTTTTTTTACAGTATGTCCCTAAGTTCAGTTTGTCTCTTGGCATAGGTCTCCTCTAACAATTTCCACTGTGACCTGTCACATGCTACCCTTCTCCAATGATATGCAGCTGTGAGTTTAGGTCGTCTCCCCATTTTATTTGTTGGCGTCAAATACGTTTTATTAATAAATATGATTTAGCATTAAATAAGTTTTATTAATTAATTCCAAATCATATTTCTTTCAATACGTTACGTCCAACCGTACGTGTGCCGCTGCAGGCACAGCTGGCTGGGCAACCGCGCCGCGTGCCAGGTGGAGGCGGCGCTGCAGGCGCTGGCGGCGCGCTGCCGGCAGTGGGAGCGGCGCGGAGCGCTGGCGTGCTCGCCGCGCCTCGCCGAGCTGTGCGGTCACTTGCACCAGCCGCACCACTTCGACCTCAACTTCAAGGCCTGCAAGGCCGCCGGCCAGGCCGTCGCCAAGATGGACTTGTACGTTGCTCTGGCCCTCATAATTCCTCTTATAGTAAACGACCAGGAACTTTTCAAGTCGATGGTAAATGACCATTTTCCGCCACTATTGATTGTCACTTTTCATCAGGTGTGGTAAGACAAAGCGCCAATAGGTAATAAAAAAAAAACCGTGAACACACGGCGGACTATGCTCGTTGTTAAAAAAAATAAATTATTATGAAGCACAATGTTCCCAATCGTTAAATGGGTTAATTGTACTTTTCTTCGACAAAGAGCGCAATTTACGATGTAGTGTTAAAAATAATTTTTGTATCATCGCAACACCAGCAAAAAAACAAAAATAATGTTGAACAGAAAATGTGCAATTTTCGTCTGTTTAGACTTATAAGTAATCCTCCCCTCCCCCTCTCTATTTTCCATGCTCTTTTTATTTTGATTTAACCAGAGATATTGCACAGATATATAAAAAATAACATACTGTTTATTTTTGTACATATACTAAAGAAAATAAAATGTACTCTGTAATTTGCCATAGTGAGGACGAAAAAATCGAATGGATATCAGTTGGAACAGCTACCCTCCGGCGTGAATTCGAGGCCCAGGCACGAAATTTATGGACAATATTAATGTCGTCGCTTCAAACTAGCTGCCGCAAAGATGTTGAAACCATAGACACGTTTGTCGCTGGCGCTAAACTTGCGCTTGAGAATAAAGATCTGCCCAAAAATACTAAGGAACTTGCTGAAATAAGTGCTAAACAGCAAGCACTGCAGTCAAATTTGCCTGAGGTATTATCAAATTGAGAAACTATTTAATTTTTTTTTTTTTATTTTTATCAATTTAATATGTTGATCAGCAGTTTTTATTGAGGAAAACTCAAAGTCCTCCTTTACAACCATCATTTGATCGCTTCAATCGAATATCAGATGTTCAGTCGAACATCTTACTTAAGAGGCGCAAAGTTATATGTATTCCGCAGGGAAATGAGAATATTAGAGATCTAAACTTCACCTAGAAGCGTGTTTTACTATTTATCTATTTATTGTATTTTGTTATCGTGAACGACCGTGATTTCCCTTGATAGTTATCAACATTCTTAGAATCCTCGTTGTCCTGTGACATATACATGTAAATGTGAAACTTCTAAAAATGCTTAGATGTATGTTTGTTTTTTAATTACACTCTAAACGGATCTTAATAACATTTGGTATACAGGTAAAAAAGCCGTCGGATAAGTTTGTTTGAAATAAGAGATTTTATGTGGAATTTGTTAAATTTCTTAGATGGAGCAATTAGTAGAAGCATTGAAACGTAAAGGACACATGCTGCGGACATGGGGAGGGGATGCATCAGTGGATGATACTATTAAGGAATGGTTGAAGATGCGAGAACTTATACAGAGTCAACAGCAAATGTTTGAACAACAGGTAAATTTTTAAGACCAGACGAGTTTTATATATATCTATTTGTAATCTAAATTAGAACTGGGTAAAAATTGGTTTACTTTTTTTTTTAAACAATAACTATTTTTTAATACATTACTTGAATTGTTAATACAACAAATAGTATAGGAAAAAACATCGTTCGGGTCTCATTTCAGGCTGAGATCGTGAAATCAAGCCTCAAGGGAGAATGGGAAAACCTGGAAGTGAGCGTGGAGGCCTGGGTGTCGCGGTGGCAGGCGGCGGCGGCGCGGGCTGCGGACGGAGAAGGCGCAGGTGGAGCTGCTGCCGCCAGCCGCTGCGCGGACGTGTTCGCAGCGCGCGACCACTACCACTCGCTGCGTGACCACAGGGACCGCTTGCTGTACGTAACGTACAGCACATTAAAAAGGATATAGATCGGTAATGTAAAAAGGATAAATGATAATATGGTAGAACGAGGTCATTCACCTACAGAATATAAACTCGAAAAACATTTGGTGGAAATGTGAATAAAATAAATTTTGATAAGTTTCACATTCTGAGGTGTAATTATTTTAAATTAATGTAGTTGGTTTGGTTAAGTGTGCTGTACCTGGGGATATCACTATATAAATTACAAAAAAAAAATCCACTAAATTGCATATTTTGCGTGTAATGATGCTGTAAACATTAAGCTCTTTAAATATGATATAGATGCATCAGAAATATTTTGTAGTATAATTGGTTGAAATAGAATTCCTAATTTAATCCAAATAAAATAAAAATTCTATATATCCAAATTGAGATGAAAATTATACATGTACGTGAATTTGTTATTTTTTAAATTTCTATAAACTTTTTGAACATTTGAGAAATCAATACGTGTAATATGTGTAGTGAAACATACTGTTTTACTCCGCATGTGATACTTACAGACATATGCAAACGTACACGGCACGGCGTATATGCACATACACACAAACACACACACGCCATTTGCGCGGCTGTATGTAATAAGTATGTTTGTATACGTATATTTAAAATTTAACATGCACCTATTGTGATTTTTGTTTGTTTATATTATATCCTGACTATTTCTACCGAAAATATTTCATGGTGGTGACAAAAGTAGACACATTTACACTATTTTATATATATTTTGTAAAAGCAAAAGCACACATACACACATTATGTACATTGCTTTTTTTTGTATATTTATTCTTTTATCTTTTTTTATTGTGCATAAAGGAATGCAAATAAATTATATATGTATTTATCTATTTGTGGACAGAGCCCGTATCTTTATTTGCCTGTGTTCTCTTTCATGTATAGTCTATGAGCAGCCTGATAATATTTTTAATGTCATATCTTTAATACATTTTTACAGAAAAGAATGTGATAAGTTCGATATGAAACTTGAACCACGTCAAATTTGGCAAGATGCTGAAAAACTTGTTAATGACCTTGTTGTACTGTGGACACCGCTGAAAGAATACAATGAAGGTAAATATTTTATTCCAAATTTAAATACTAGAGCTCTGCAATTTAAATGAAAAAATAGTAATAACGATGATCATACATTTTTTTTTTCAGAATATGAATTGATTGCTGAGCAAGAATGGATAGTGTTCCAGAAAAAGCTTCATGTACTAGATGAATTTGTATCTAAATGGAGCGGACTTTTGGAGCCGTATACTATGATCACATTGTACATACAACAAGAATTAGAAAAATATACTGTAAGATATACATAGTTATATATTCATTGGATTTGATTGATTTGTAAAATCTTGAATGCCCTAGCTTTTATTTATCACCGTAAGACGTCTGGTAGCTTAGAGAAAAAAAAAATTGAAATTTTTAGTTATCTAAAGTTTAGTTGATCTAAAAGGTTATTTTTAAAATGATTTTGTATTTATTTTTATTATTTATAACAATATTGATCGTCAACAGGATTTGACAATGTTGTTAAAATATCTTCGTGGAAATGACTTCACGGAGCAGCATTGGCGTGAAGTATATGGCCTCTTAGATATGGAATACAAGAAACCTGACACTCTTCTAGTGAGAGATCTTCTGAATGTAGCTAGCAACATCAAAAAGCAAATTAAAGCTTTACAGGTAGTAGAAGTGTCTTGTTGTCTATCTATTATATAGATTAGAAATAACAAATAAATATGTATATTTTCATAATAAAGTATTAAAATAAGTAGTGTAGTGGTTTAACTAACTCATTGCATTACCTTCCGATGGTCAATACGAACATTTGTAATATACTTACTTATAAGTAGTAAGTAATGTTTGTTTATCTGTTTGTTTTTGATTTGCGCGCTTTCTAAGATAATATGTATAATTTTCTATAAAAATATCTTAATGTTTATCGATTTAAACTTAGTTAAACATTTGATTGCATTTCGGAGGCCCTAGATCGAATACCATTTTAAACATTTAAAATTTTCGAATTCATATTTGGGATATAAAGAATGGTTATCATTTGCATTGTGCTTCGTAAGGCATGTAAAGATTTCGTTCAGTAAGCCTTGATATCAGATGGCACCATACAGACTACATTAAGATTAGTAGGAGTAGTACTTAGTGTACGAAGTACTGCTACGAGCACAGAATCTGTTCCAGTTGAATTTTTATAAATATTAATTAAATACATATTTTATTAGAAAATTAGTACGAGTGCGTCGAGCGAAGCGGCTATCAGAAGCGCTCTCAACGAGATGGAATTGTGGTACGCAGGCGCTAAACTCGCTATAATATACTACACTGATAAAGCTAAACGATCCACGCCCATTGTGAAGGACTTCAAAGAGATACTTACCAAAGTGAGTATTTTAAAAATAGTACAAATTATATCTCAGTGCCTTAAGATCGTAAGGCCCATTAATATTTTGGTCACTTGGTTCCGTAGTACTTGTCACTTGGTTTTTAGTGCTTGATTCAAATTAGTAACTCATATTCTACATGGTTTTTTTGTAATATTTTTACTATGAATAGTCTACTATTTTAAACAATACATTTATATATTTGTACATTTTCTTTATTTTAGGAATCATTAATGAAAATTCTCTTGATTTTTTTTTTGGAATAAATGTAGGACCTTCATTGTAACTTATGAAGGTTGCCAGGGGAGATATTAAAAATATACAACGTCATTATTTTTCTAATATTATTTAATAGCTTGAAATATGGTACATACTCAGTTCTACTATTTTTTATGAAATTGATGGAAAGTGGTAACTGTCGCCTATAGACATAGCAGTACCGTGCACATAATGGAGATATATTGTTTCGCCTATGATACCCCTCATGTGTTACTATTCCTGAGGACTCGGGTGTTATTCCTCTGTACCCTGTAAATTCACTGCCGTATTCCATCCTTCAAATTGAAACACAGCCATGCAAACACAACTGCTTCACGGTAGAAACACGAATGAGACAGAGATGCCTAAGCAAACGACTTTTGTACAAAGTCTCCTTCTGGTAAAATATTACTATTATAATGATCGTACTGTAACAACCAGTATCACAGATATCTGTAATAGGAGATGTTCAAGTATTACGTAACGCAATTTTTGGAAAAATAAAATTTTTCGCCTCCTCTCTCCCTCTTTGTAACATTTTTCTGTCCCCCAACCTTCCCTAAACCTTACGTAAATGACCATTTTTACCTAAAAGTCACAACACTGACGAATACTGACAATAAAAATAAAATAAAAATGATGTACAAAACAGTCGAGGAATTCCCCGTAAAACGAAACAAGTTGAAAATTTGATATTCATTCTTTACTTTTTTATTTCAATAAAAAAAATGTTACGTAACGCGTTCTTCGAACCTATCAAATTGTGTTACGTAATACTTACCAGAGGGAGACTTTGTACAAAAGTCGATTGCTTGGGCACCTCTGTCCCATTCGTGTTTCTACCGTGAAGCAGTTGTGTTTGCATAGCTGTGTTTCGGTTTGAAGGGTAGGATATGGCGTGAATTTAGAGGGTACAGAGGAATAACACCTGAGTCCTCAGGAATGGCAACGCATGGGGGGTATCATGGGCGAAACAGTATACTCTGTTATGTCCATGGTACTGCTCATATCTATAGGTGACCGTTACCACTTTCTATCAGGTGGGCCGTCAGCTTGTTTGCTATTCTAAGTTGTATAAAAAAAAATGCAGAGAAAAAGGGGATTGTTAGTAATGGGGTCTAACTCTTTATTTGCAATACTACACTATCAGGTCGACTTCCACACGGTTCCCCCTGGAAAACATCGTGGTCAATTCTATGGAATTTGTCACGATGGGCTAACTGACCTGCTTTCATCGTCATCTATCATTTCTTACTGGTGCCCCGCTAGTGTATACCGATAGCACAGGTGGAGTTATCATTTCATTGTCACCCCTCATGTGTTTTTAAATGCCAGTATGTAATCTGTGGTGCCATGCTCAGGTGGAGGAATACCAATGGGTGGTATCATCACTAGGCACCGCGGCGAGCTCCGCGTGTTCAGCGTGGGAGGCGCGACTGCGTGCTGCCCGTCTGCTGCTGCGTGCTGCCCACCACGTTCAACGCAGGTTAGTTGCCCACGCGCACTTGTTAATGCTAAAGGCAAATTGCTCATTCATCTATTTTGATCAATAAGTGTTGATTACTTTATTTATTTATTTATATTTTTGCACACATTAAAATATGTCTACAGGGCGGACTTAATGCCTAATGGCATTTTCTACCAGTCACACGTTACGCTAAATAGAGAGAGTAAATGGCGATGCATTGGTCTAACAAAATCATTTTATAAATGAAATAAATATTTTGATAGATAACAACATTAATATATTATGATAATATTATTATGTAAAAATATTTTATGGTACTCTGTATCGTTATAAAATATGTATATTATAACTATGTTAAAATTTTATTATTTATATTTTCTCAGTAATAAGCATCGATTGTTAAAAAATATTTAATTTATTTTGTGATTACATTTTTTTTCTTTCATGAAATTTAACAATATCCACTGTTATTTAGATTAGACGAGGCGTATGAAATTAAATAAACCAGATACGTATAAGGTTAGATAGAGACTACTACCTTATAATGGACTCTGTTGAGGGCAACGCATTAAGAATAGAACAGTGCATTAATTTATTTTAAACGTATTATTGTAACTATTAGGTAACTATTAAAAGTGATCTCATTTTAAAAATAATGATGACAAGGGTGAGCTCGAATTACTGCTATTATATGGTAGTGCATATTTAGCGTTTTGTAATCGTATGACGGTGCCGTCAAACACGTGTGCTACAGATGTCCGGGTTCATATACATTAAATGTTCTCATAATAAAGGTTCCTTTTACGACTTTGGTACGGCACACGAAGCCGGACATAAAATTAAAAGAAATAAAAATTACTTGTCTTTCAGCAAATTCGAAATCGAAAAAACATTGCTCTAAAGTCTATGTAGATTTTGCGAACGAGTATTCTACGTAATGTTGTTAAATTGAGCCGCATTTTTTTCGGTTCTGTAGAAGTAACTATGCAATTGAGCACAATATAATAAAGGATTATTATATTACGTTTTACGGGTTATATTCCTAGATACGGTTAATCCATAGAATAGGTAATCCAAGACAGTCATATTTATATATTTTTATGAAATACAAACCTATAATTACTTCCATAACCACAAATTTGGTTATAGATAAATATATACTGTGTTTGCATTACTTACAGCACACAAATAACAGTACAAACATACACATAATACAGACATACACAGTAAAAAGAGATAAAAGAATGCATATACAAAAAAAAAAAAAGCAAAATATATAAAACAACAATTTCCCTCTTTCATACGTGTGCCATAGTAACACAAAATGTTCACAACTCAGTTTATTGTTTTGCCCTCTAAAGAGCGAAACATTGATATTCTATTGTGGTCAAGACCCAGTCGCGAAAATACTTAATAAAAATAATACCAAAAAAAAAACAAACAAATGTGAATAGAATACATTATGCGTTCATTATATTTGCTACCATTTGATATTTTATTCTAAATAAATAAAATAATAACAGATACCATTAGAAGAGGGGTAGTCAGAGGTCACTTTCTGTCGGATTCAGGCATTCAAGCAATAAATGTTTCCGCTATATCCTATTAGATACGCCAATTGTTTAATAATTAAACAAAAATTAGGTTCTTTTTAAATAATATAATGTTACTATACCACGACAGATATATAGGAAACGGATAATTATCCGTTTCCTTCCGAAGTAATTACTTCGACAATCTATGTTATAAAATCATTTTTTCAATTTTTTATTAATAAAAATTCAATTTTTTATTATTTGACAAACAGATGAATTAGTAAGAACTACGTTCTCACATATTAGTAAGTAAAAAATCTTGCATGTAAAATAAATAAAATATTTAGATATCTTTTTGTGAATGATAACTTAAAGAATTTTTTGTTCGTGTTTTCGCCGTATGTCTGACCTTGAAATGTATGTCATTATGTAAAAGATTGTGATTAGTGGACGAGTTTCAAACCATTTTTTTTTATTTACAGTCTGGTTTAATTAGTTTGTACTTATGTTTGGTGCAATTTAGATCCCTCACAAGCCAGAATTGGAGTAGCTTGTAAAATATTACAATAGCTTCGAAGTTTGTCCTTGCGATGTAAAAACTGCTATCTTTTTAAAAAGTCTCCAATGTGGGGCATTTGAGACTAATCCAGACATTATAGATACAAAATATAATATTAGCATGTATTCTTACAGACGCTGTAATTGTGCAAAAGAAAAAATATCTAATAATTATAAAGATATAGTTATTGTGGTGAATTATAAAAAATAAAATCAACAAAAGCATGTCAGATCTATCGAAATAAATATTTATTATTAATTATTCCATGATATATGGTCACTGAATGTTCATTATGTGAATATAAAACACACGGTGGCCTTTTTGATCTGGAAAGCCATAACTATGTCACATGGCATTTGTAGTTATTCGATTTTGCGTTCCCGTCCATCCTGCATTTGTTCGTCGGTTTTTGTTGTACCCTATTGTTAACTTCGATTGTTCAAAGGCCTGCCTTAACAATTCATCAGTGGCAACGATTCGTATTAATAGTTACGTTTGTCAAAAAAAATGTAACAAGTTTCGTTAAAATCTGTCGAGTAGTTTTTGTTTCTATAACGAACATACATACAAACAGACAGACAAAAATTTTACTGATTGTATTTTTGACATCAGTATCGATCACTAATCACCCCCTGATAGTTATTATTTTGGAAATATATTTCATGTAAAGAATTGACCTCTACAGATTTATTATAAGTATAGATATATTGTAGTACGTGGGATTAATGATGAAAAGTATAAGAATGTCTAATTATTAATGATACCATAGTCTATTGCTTATATAAAGTTATTATTTTTTATTAGAGTTACGTATTAGTAATGAATATGATTAGCACACATCACAAGCTGGGACTATGTAAACTAGATAACGCGGTTCACTGACCTGAGATTTAAACTTTACAACAGCTGAAATTAGGCAAGAATCTATACAGATAGTGACTACTTACCTACGGACATATAATGAATACTTGTTTATATAAATATTTATGTATATAAAAAATATAATAAATTACCTAAAATTATAATTATTGTGAGTAAAAATAAAGTATTACTATTCCATCAATTTTTTTTAATTAATTAATGAATATTTTTATTAATGTATAATATATTATAGAAAAAAAAATCAGTGTAAAGTACTAATTCTATTTAAGTATATTGGTGATGCGTGTATCACTTTATCTTCCTTTTTTTATTTAATATTTTTTTATTTAATTCGCATCTTTGGTTTATAATGAGAATATATAATCAGATATAATAATAACATTATCATTTAAAAATAACAAAAAATTGATAAGCTTTCCTTTTTCTTATTCCACTACATACATAATTATATACTTATTTGTAATAACACGAGTAATTAATAAATAATATAAAATATATTGTATATGGGACAGTTGAAAGGCCCTCTGCTTGTGAGTGATGGTGATTAAGCGACACACGTAAAGTGGCAATAGTAGTTCTTGAAAATAAGTTTACGATCTCAAAGATCTAATCGGGCCATGCGGTGCAGTTACAGTCATGTAGGCTATTTTAGATCTCCCTTCCTGTTTGTGTATAGGTACTTATACTGAACGCAATGTACTAAAGTTACAACTGCCAGCCCGATATATCTGGAAGACCTATGATTTATATAAGTATATTTTTTAACTACATCGTCTTACCTATCATCATAAAATCTTCTGCAGCACAACTTGTACTGCTGTCGCATATTCTTAGAGCCAACAACATAATTTCGTGTTGAAGTATAGAGTTGGTTGTGAGAGTGTTACTATTATTACTGTTTCCATTGTAATTCTGCATTTGTAGATTCCTTTCTGTAATAATTTTAACTAAAAATGGAACGTTTTCATTTGCTTTATTAATCTGTAATTGAATATTATTTTTAAAACTTATGTTTATATTTTAATGAATGAAGTTGAAACAATTATCGGTAACGACAAATGTAGCAAGTTCATAAAATTATATTATGACATCTCAGCCATTATCTGCCCACTGCTGACCATATGCCTTTCCCATAAGGTACGGTTCTGAGCCACCTGCATTTACTGACTCCTTGCATTGCATTTGAAGTCGTCGCTCATTGCGTTTGCTCGTACTTGCTTTCCACTCAAAAACCTTTCTTCCTCATCAATTGTCGGTTCTTCGAGGTATGTGACCAGCCCATTGTCACTTCAGCAATGTGAAATTAATAAAAATAATAGGTTGTTTCTTTATATTATAACATTTAATAAAATATAATTTTATGTGTACGAATCTAACACCAGAAACGATGGAATGACCCTGTTGTCTCTCGAAACGTGTACGTGATGATTGCCGCGCAACCAATAAAATATGGACATGCGGAATAATCCCGGCAACTAGAGAGGTCCGATTATAAATCCGAGTGCATCCAATCCTACGCCATGCAGTGCACACGTTAGCTGGGCAAAAAATGTTACCTATTAAGCTAAACAATATTATAATTTCACATTACCAAAATACAAATTACAAGAATTTGATCATTGTTTAAATATCGATTTTAAATAGATTATGAGGTAATGTTTAGAAGTCTTGGTACTTACTCGCTCTTATCTATCTAAAATTTATAAAGTGATTTCCTATTTTTTTCCAAAATTCGAGTGTAGTAAAAATGTAGTTTTGTATATTTACTGTAAATGTATTTTCGTTAAATTAATATTTAGAATGTAGGTGGTACATTTATTCTATTTCCGGCCAGTTTCTAGTTAACTTGACACTGATAAGGGGTTATCGTCCAACTGTCGAAATGTAACAATTTATCTAACGTTTACATAGACTCTATTAGCGTTTTGTTTTAACTTGTCCATTATTGACCTTAGTTTCGTCACTTTTAGCATAGAAATAATAGATATTAAGTACATATATGTATTTTGTTACCACGATAGTATTTCTTCTGGCCCTATAGG